TCAGGGGAGGAGGGGTGGGATTGGCAGTTGAGGGAAACTGCTAGGGGAGGGAGGGGCATATCTCATCAACAAGAGTACCTGCATAATCAACAGTTGCATACCTAACCCCGAATTGTACCCCATATCTTTATAATATAAATAAATAAATAAGGATGATTGTATCTGTACTGAACATATATAGACTTTTTTCTTGTCATTATCCTCTAAGCAACATTGTATAGTAACTACTTACATACCATTTTCATTGTTTAGTCATTATAAGTAAACTAGAGATGATTTAAAGGATACTGAGGATGTGTGTAGGTAATATGCAAATACTACACCATTTAATATAAGGGACAAGTGGATTTTGGTATTCGCTGAAGGGGGTAGGTGTGATATGCAAGAATTTCATTTACCACAGTCTAAACAATACCAGTTCCCACACAACATAGTTCAAATGTCAATTATCACAGTATATTAACTGTGGGTAACTGCATAAATTACAAACAACTAGTTCTTCAGTCTACAGATCATTAGGTAAATAATTGATGCACGTCATGATCCATGACCAACCAAGTCACTTCTTTCAAATTCTGTCAGGTTCAGAAACTGATTACCGCACATCTGTTATTTGGCTCATGCACAGACAGCAAAACATGTAGCTGTGTTGCCTCCTTATTTAGCACTGATAATCCCACATGACATTTTATAAAAATCAACAGTCTAAACAGAGATATGATTACCAAAGACAAAAGTGCAGGGAAGAAGCAAAAACTGGTAACATAAATGGATTAGAACATAAATGGAGTGACAAAAGAAACAGTTGACTGTGGGACTATCAGCACTGCACCGTTTTAAAGACTCTATATAGCAGACTTATCAACATAGATGAGAAAAGGGGTTGTGATAAAAAAGATGAAGATGTCTCAGAAGAAGTGATGAAAGCAAAATACTTCCCATTAAAGAAACTTTCAGAAGTTTTCACGGCATTGAAAGTGTGTAGAACAGAATGGTGAAATCTTATTCAAACTTAGAAAGGAGTATAAAAATTTGCTAAGGGATATGAAAGACATCCTATATTTTAAGTTATACAAGAAGCAATTGTTCAAACAACTCATGTTTTTTCAAAGAAATAAAATATCTTAATAGTTTGTACTATTCCTTTTACTATTTTTTTCCTTTCTCTATACATTTATAACCAACAGTAAAGGAATTTTTAGTGTTTTGACAAAAATTTCTAAAGATTGAACAATTCTAATTCTTCCCATTAAGATCCCTTTGTGGTAATTTTTATAGTCTCCAACTACCAAGCAAAGTGAGGACTGCATGTATATTAAAATAAAATCAGTTTATAGTTTGCTTTATACATCACATTTTTTAAATGATACGCTGCTTCAAATCTTCAAATAAAGATTTGAGATATATAGAGAGAGATAAGCATAATGATACTATGGCAGAAATTGCCAACTGGAGTATTCATCGTCTCTTTCTTTCATTTAGCAAATAAAACTATCTGAACTTAAGTCAGGTATATGGACTCCTTCTAGAGATTGCTTTGTAGTTAGATGTGGGGACATAATACTATCTCAACCAATGGAATGATAGAATCGTGTCCTTAAAATGAGACTACATACCTACCCTTCCCTCCTGATTAAAATTACAGTGTTGAGTGGTGAGCAAACACTGACCATGCAGATAAGGCATATCTCAAGGGATGGTAACACAACAAAACATAAGGAATCTGGGTCTAAGACAACCTCATAAAACATTGTTCCTCTGTAATACTGACTATCTTGGACTTTCACATAAGAAAACAAATTATGTCAAGATGCCTATATTAAAACAGTCAAGCCAATACTCCATTAGAGATGCACGCTAATGAAAGTTATAATGAGATTATTTCTAGCCTCAGCAAATATTCCTCCACAATCAAAATGAATAACTTCTCCCGCAACATAAAGATTTACTATAGAACAACAGTAACCAAGTCAGTATGGTATCAACAGAGGGAAAGTTCAGAGGTCTACTAATGGAACACAAACAAGAGGACTTGGAAACAGACACACACAAATATGCTCAAATGACGGACAACTGTTTCAGCAAATGGTGCTGGAGTTATTGGATATCCAGAGACAAATAAATAAATCTCTAACGAAACCTCACCCCTTTGTAAAAAAAACTAATTCAAAATGAATGACAAACTTATGTAGAAAATGAAAAATGATAAAATTTTTGGAAAAAACAAACCCAACTTTAAAAATGGACAAAAGACATGAACAGACATTTCACTGAAGAAATAGAAATGGCAAATAAGCACATGAAAAGATGTTCAATATTATTAGTCATTAAGGAATTACTTAAACTTACAATCAATCAATGAATGATTGTAGACTGCTAATTAAAACCACACACCTATCAGAATGGCTAAAATAAAAAACAATGACACCACCAAATGCTTGGAGGATGTAAAGAAACTGGATCACTCATTCATTGCTGATAGGAATGTAAAATGGTACAGCCACTCCTGAAAACAGTTTTAGTTTCTTTAAAAAAAAAAAAAATTAAACATACAACTACCAAATGACCCAGCAATTGTACACCTGGGCATTTATGCCACAGAAATGAAGCTTATGTTTACATAACAACCAGTACACAATTGTTTAGGATAGCTTTATTTGTAATAGCCCAAAACTGCACTAATTCCAAATGTCCTTCCACACATGAATGATTTAATAAACTGTAGTACATATATACAGTGGGATACTACTCAGCAGTTAAAGAGAAACAAATCACTGATACATGCAACAACTTGAATGATCCTCCAAGGAATTATGCTTAGCAAAATAAGCCAATTCCAAAAGCTTACATTCTATACAATTCCACTTATATAACATTTTTCAAATTACAAAATATTAGAAATGAAAGACTAACAGTTTCTGGGGGTTGGGAATAAGGGAGGAGAGAGGAACATGGTAGGGAGATGGGTGATTATTACAGAGCAACAGATGCAGGATCCTTGTGGTGTTGAAACTATTCATTTTCTTGACTGTGGAAGTAATGATACAAATCTAAACAGGTGATAAAATTGTGTAGAAATTAACACACACACACACAGACACACACAAATGAGTATAGGTAAAACTAGAAAAAAATCTCAACTTTTAAAAAAATAAACAACATATGCTGACCCTATTCTTTACTACTGAAATAAGTTAGTAACTTTCTTTTCAAAGTCTTCTAATAATTTCCCATCACATTTAGAACAAAATTCAGATTCCTTGGTCCCTAAGGCCTGACAGAATGATTTATGTTTACCTCTCTGACTTACCAACATTTATTGTACTCCAGCTATACTACCCTGCTTTTATCCCTGTAATCTGTCAAAATTGTTCCTACCTCAAGACTCTTGAACTTGTCTACATAAACCCTCTTTTCACAAACATCTGCGACTTACTTCCCTTACATCATTCACAGGTTAGCTCATATATAAACTCTCCACAGATGACTTTCCTAACTTCCCTACTAAAACAGTTGTCCTCTCCCCCTAACTCTAGCAGTCTTCCCCACATCTTTGTTTATTTTTCCTCATGGCTGTTATTAATGACTGAAATGATATCATTACTTGATTACTACTGGTATATTCCACAAAGATATAAGCTCTATGAGGGCAAAGGTTTTGTATGTTTTATTTGCCATACTATCCTAGCACTTAGAAGAGTGTTTGACACTCTTAGGCATTCAAGAAAGGTGCAAAAAATGAACGGATGAACATATGAGCACTTACTACACGCTGTGTTAAGTGCTTTTACATGCACTATCTCATTTAGTGCTAACAACAATCTTTGGGAGTAGGTCCCAATAGTGTATCACTTAAGAAAATAGTAAAGTTGTTGAAACAAAAGTAAAATAATATAAACGTTAACAAAACAGAAGTTTTCTTCTCTTTCACACAACAATCAGAGTCTAAAGGATCCAGGGCTGACATAGTGCTACACAGTACTGAGGACCTAGTTTTTTTTTAATCTTGCAACTCTATCAACCTTAAAACATACAGCTTTAAAATCAGGGCCTAAGATGGTAGGTCCAGCCCGTGGCACTATATTTACCTTCCAGTCAGAAGGAAGAAGAAAAGGAGGAAGGTCTGCTCTTTCATTTTTAAAGTCATGGCCCAAAACTTCCAATGAAATTCTGCTACCATCCCAGTAGCCAGAACCTCGTCATGGGAGTACCTCTTGAATGTACAGTCTTTATTTCTATAATAAGAATGTCTATTACTATGTAAAAAAGCATATGTCTATTCTTGGGGAGACAGTAAGCCTGCTCTTTCACAATAACTAAACTCATTATAGAGATAAACAGAAAATCAAAAATGTTATAATTAAACTTCTGAAGGATAAGAAGAAGCGGGGGTCAAATTTCAAACTACAGTCTTATTCCATAGACTGAGTTTTTAATTACTACCCTATATTCCCTCATTATGCTTTATTGCCATAAAAAAGAATTTGCATTTTACAAAATTATAACAAACCATGCATCAGGTAGAAAAAGTTAATTGTATAGCAATTTCTTTTTTACCATTAGCAGCTAAGTTTTCTTGAATGTTAAATTGGTAAGTTCGGAACCAAACTTCTTCGCAGGCCCCTTTCAATCCATTATTATGAAAAAAGTACACTAGAAGGCGTATCAAAAAGGAATGACAATAAAATACTGACAAATACCAACAAATAAAATACTTACGCAAATGACATCCAAATCTTGACCTCTCCTACAACTTCCACACACAAATATATTCTTTAAATTAACAACTGATTATTAAAAAAAAAGTCTTTGCAGACAAAAGGGAAAATTAGCAGAACAGGACATATTGGATTACACAGTCATTCAAATCAACTGTAACAGATTCAGAATTAATCCGAAAACAAACCTGGTTTTAGCCTGCTATAAGGCTCATATTCATGTTCCAAGGCACACACAATCATTTTCAAAATCCTGTGTACTGCACTGCTATCCAAGTGGAAATCAAGAGGACCTATAACAAGGCTTTTGGTAGACTTCTCCTGGACTGCTCCCAAATCTTCACTTTTCCCTGAAGAAAAGTCTTGTTGATTTGTAGAACCTATAAGAAGTCAAATTTTATATGTTAAGCATCAATTAGATATAACAAATACATATTTTAATACTACTCATCTCTCATCTTTTTAACTTGTAGTTTAATGCCTTAAAACAAATTCTCAATCAGCAGGACACAGAGACCCCTGATGCTCTGTATTTTCCTCTATGTAGATGATAAAATATTGATAAAAGCAATTGATTCAAAAAACAATTACTGCTCTTATCTACTTAATATTATAAGAAGTGATATGTCAAAACTATCACTCTAAATAATTATTCTATATAATCTAATTGGCTCATTTCCAGGAATCCTATACACAATACTACTACCTTAACTGGGAAAGAGAACTTTGGAGGAAGCTACAATTTACTACTAATTTTTATATTAGAAATTTTATTAAAAATGAATTTGTTTAAGTAAATACATTCACAGGATGCCTTGAAAGTTTTATAAAGACCATGGAAACAAACAATGGGTATTACCTGCTTTAAACTTTTTTCAGAATAAAACTATTATGGCTATGCTCCACAGTACAGAATCCTATCCCCTAGTTCTCTCAACTGCTCATATACTGAAAAGGAACCAATTCTGTTTTCTAAAGAAACTTATGGGGCAACCTTCTTGGGTCCCCTCCTACTGTGGGAGTTTTTCTGTTCTCTCAATAAATCCTGCTTTTTCACTTTCAAGAGAAAATTGTGGCTCTAACAACAGGTATTCCTTATTATCTATTATGAACACACAATTAGATGTGACTTTTATATATAAATTCATTATTATAAGTGATAACAAACAATAATTTTTAATTTTTAGATTCATTTTATTTATTCAAACAAAAAAGAAAGACTTCCCAGCATTTAATTACTTTTAGAACCTAGAAAGGTCTAACTAAACACAAAAATTCTGCCTCTACACTTTCCAATAACTTTAATAAAGATTCATTTCAATCATTTCACACAAAGGAACACAGATGAATCTTTATTCTCCATAGTATAGGCAATTTAGTAATGAATTAAATTTATTATTCATATATTTTTAGAAGTAAAAATTTGTAAGTTCAAAAAGACTTATATGCCCTATCAAATAAAACATACAAAGTTTATCTTATACATATTTTATATATGCATAATTAATACTGACTCACATTAGAAATGAGGCATAATAACATACCATTCATATTAAAAGCCATTACTTTTCATAGTTAAAACCACTGCAGGTTTCAGATTACATGTTAGACAGAAGGAGGTAACTTGAAAATAATCACAAGAAATTTGTTTACAAATCAAGAAACTTGAAAAGTAAAATAAAATGTTCTGCTATGGGTCCTTCAGGGAATATTCAGCTTCCTAAACACATGTCACTTTATAATAAGACCCTTCTTTTAGACTTATAATATTCTCTAAAATAAGAGAGGTCAATAGACTATCTATATGCACCCTATCATGAAAACTGAATATAATGCAGTTTACATTTAGATACCAGTGGCTTGTCTAAAATGTAATGTGTGACTGGTTTTTAGCTATGTATTTTCAGCAAGGCATTTACTTGTGCCCAATCTCAATGTGTTTGGCCACTCCAGCCTCCTGGAATGTTTGGTTACTCTTATTAAGAGTCAAGACTTTCTCATTCCTGACCTTCAATTCAATAACTTGTTTCAACTTTCTCTCTTACTATATCTATAAAATTGATCTTCCTATTGTAGATTACAATTTCAGTTCCATAACATGTCCATAACATTTAAAATAATCCCCTAATATAGAAAAGGTCAGAAAGGCAGTAGTTAAAAATACAACAAATATTTCAACAGTTACATTAATAAGAAATATTTCAATTTAGTTTTCAAAACATTATTTGCTTTCAAGTAGCATAACAAAATAATTGTCAAAAGATGTTTATCATCAATCTCAAACAGCAGCACAGAAAACTTAATAAATGAATTTGTATATGCCATAGTATAAAGTAGGCAAAGTACTACTACATTATTGACTACAACAAAAATAAATAAAACAAGGTCTTTCATTACTGCATTTACTAGATTCTGACATTAATAAGAATACCATCATGAATTAAAACACAAATTCAAATCTACTTTCAAACTTGAAGGATTCACTACAAACTTTATGAAATCATTGATTCAATCTGTGTTTAGATAGTTAGATAAAAAGTTAGGGCATTTTTGATAATGTAGACTATAGAAACAAATGTCAAGTCACAATAAATCAATAATGTTAAATCAAGTATTTACAAGTATCCTCTTAAAGGAACTCAATACTTCTCCTAGTTCATAAATACTAAAAATTCTACAAATTTCTTGTTTCAAGTAATCTAAGAAAGAAAGAAAAATCAACAGAGTAGTCATGAAAGTAGGCTCTAGAGTACAAATGGTTGAATACAGATCCCATAAACTATGTATGTTGATCTTGGTAAAGTTACTTTACCTATATAGGGCTGTCTCCTCATCTGTAAAATTGGGATAATATTATCTATTTTACAGGGTTATTATTAGAACTAAATAAGCTAAGACATGTAAAATGCTTAGAACCAAATCTTGCCTTTAAAAATCAACAAACATTAGCTATTATCATCACCATCATAATCATCACTATATAAGTGGACATAGATTCACAATGAGAAACATAAAAGCAAGAAATATGTGAACATATTATTGAGTGAATGAATTTAACTTGTGATTGTCATAAGAAATTAAAAGCGAGATTTTATTATTTGTTCAAAAAAATTAGCTTGCACGATTAAAAAAGTAAATGTGTAAGTGGCAAACCAAAAGCAAGAAAGTGATTCCTACAGAGCTCAGAACAGCAATCTCTTTCAGTGAAGAACAAAGAATATGGCAGAAAAGAAACACATAAGAGGTTTATCAGCAATGTCCTATTTTTTGGTGTGTGTGGGAAATATGCAGGTTTTCATTTTATAAATCTCTGCTATTCTGTACATAAATGTATAGAACTTTCTCATATGTGTGTTATATTCCAGCATGTTATTTAAAAAGAAAAGTTAAGGACTATGAAATTTATAACACTGTACATTCTTCACAGATGCAGAAAATATGAAAACCTCAAAAGTTAACACCTACCAGCTAGCTTTTCAGAAAGAAATATATAAATGAAACATTATGTTTCTATCTTTTAAAAACTGCAGGCGAGGCATATATACAAATGTTTTCAATGCAAAGTTTCCTTTACTAGAAAGAACATACTTTATACCCCACTTCCTCACAAGACACTGATTCCACAGCACATGCATAAGACATCATACTTAAGAAAAAAACCTACCAGCTTACAATCAGCAACTACAATACTATAATAACTTGCAAAGGTCTTAGAACATAGATTCGCGAGTTGTATTTCCTTTTTTTTTTTTTTTTTTTGAGAACAATTATGGATTTCATTTACCATAATAAAATGGCCCTCATGCTTTCATGAAGGGTCCTCTAACTCTGAATGGGAGGATCAGTCAAAGGAAAATGACCAATAGGCTCCAAGGATTTGACTACAGAATGATCTAATCTCAGACCATAGTTAGATTTCTGGGGAATTTTCTTTTTGTGTTAAAGTCCACACTTGATTCTAAGCACCTAACTGTAGTCAACTCTAGGTCATCCCCTCTGAAAGAGTCCCACTGATAACAGCTGCTTTGGGTTGCATCACCTCTTCAGTGATGATTGATGTAAACTTGTTTCCTTTGTTCACAGGGTGGGCAGTGGTTTGTGCTTGAGCACACCTCCCTCTCGAGTATTTTCCATGAATCAGCCCCATGAACTCCAGGTGACAGAGCTAACACTACAAGCTCTCAAATACACTGGACCCTGCAATATCCTGTGAGCTGTACTTTCATATGTCTAATTGGCTAAGTAACATTTATACCTCAATGTCCACAGGTATCTCAAAACTCATCTTTTCCTCCAAAAACTGTCCTTTCTCATTTCTAGTTTTCTTGATAGTTATCATATCCACCAAGGTACTCAAGACCAGAAACTGGTAAATTATTTAAATGTTATTTTTAAATAAAACAAGGCAAGACTTGTGAATTTTTCAAGCAGAGTATTAAACCTATGCGATTGCAATACAAATCATAGAAGGGCCAGAGTAAAAGCAAGAAGACCAGTAAGAAAGCTGTTAGAAGCTAAACATAAAGGTAGATTGGATGAGAGTGCTAACAGTGAAGCCAACAAGAAGTGGATGGATTCAAGAAACATTTTGGAGGTAAAATTTGACAAAACTGCTAATAGAAAAGGAAACAGTGTGTCATGATGCTTCCTAGGTTTCTGGCTTAGCAAATAGAAGATGATAGAACAATTTCCCAAGAAAAGGAGACTGAAGACAGAGGAGAAGCAGAGGTAGTAGGTGATCATGGGGACACTATTCAATTATTCAATTTCAGACATATTCTGTGAGACACAGAAGTGAGAATGTCAAGTATGTACTGGATATTTAATTAGAAACCTTTAAGAAGTTTGGACTAGAAATGCAAATTCAAATATTCACAACATATAGAAGGTACTCAAATCCATGGAAAAGACTGAGATTGCCTCAGGAGAGAATTTAGGAAAAAAATTAGGAACTGGCCAAAGAAAATACCAACATCCAGAAATCATTTCAAAAGAAGAAGGCAGAATATCACTGTTCTTTCCGTTTCTCTTCATTAAAAAAAGGAAAGAAAAAAACCACAACACTTCAAGATCAACTCCTCTGAGACATCTTCAACTCCTCAAACAAAAGTTGTCATTTCCTTACCTAAACCTCTTCTAGCTCTCTATACTATTCTTAATATACTACATTAGACTCATTTATTAAAATACCTAGTTCGACAATTCCTTTTGACTCTTTGGTTTTCTTTGCATTTATCAGACTTAACATATCACCTAGCTCACAGAAATCCCTTTTTTTTTTTTGAGTTGGAGTCTCACTCTGTCACCCAGACTGGAGTACAGTGGCCACTCCTGGCCACCACAGCCTCGGCCTGCTGGGCTCCGGCGATCCTTCTGCCTCAGCCTTCCGAGTAGCCGGAATTACAGGCATGCGCTACCACGCCCGGCTGATTTTTTGATTTATTGTAGAGATGAGGTCTCACTGCCCAGGCGGGTCTCGAACTCGCAGGCTCAGGCAATCCACTCACCTCAGCCTCCCAAAGGCGCAGGCATTTTTTTTTTTTAAAGTTGGAGTCTCACTCTGTCACCCAGACTGGAGTGCAGTGGCCGCTCCCGGCCACTGCAGCCTCGACCAGCTGGGCTCCAGTGATCCTTCCACCTCAGCCTTCCAAGTAACCGGAACTACAGGCACGCACTACCACACCCAGTTAATTTTTTGACTTGTAGAGACAAGGTTTCACCACGCTGCCCAGGCTGGTCTCGAACCCGTGAGTTCAGGCAATTCTCTCGCCTCAGCCTCCCAAAGTGCTGGGATTACAGGTTCGAGCCACCACATCCAGCCAGAAATCACTTTTTTAAATAGCTGAGTACCTATTTAAATAGATGGTTCATGCCTCTAATCCCAGCACCTTGGGAAACCAAGGCAAGAGGATTGGCTGAGCTCAGGAGTCAGAGACTAGCCTGGGCAACATGGTGAGACCTAGTCTCTACAATAAATTAAGAAAAAAGTAGTTGGGCTAGTTGGAGGACTGAGGCAGGATTGCATAAGTCCAGCAGATCAAGCCTGCAGTAGCCATGACTATGCTGGGCAACCAAGTGAGACTCCAACTCAAGCTAAATAAATAAATTAAATTAAATAATAAAATTTAACCAAAAAATTGTGAACCTATTTTCACTAAACATTCAATGTAAAAAAAAAGACTCAAAAAATTCAACACTGCATATTGATATGCACATATCAAATAGTGAAATTTCAAAAAAATATCATTTACTTCCTAAAAAAGAAAATAATATTAAAAAGTACATAATGAAATAATAAAACATATGCACTTATAGTCTCTGGAGGATTTTTTTCTATTTTCCTGATTAAAAAAGATACCTTCAAAATGAATTTAATATAGAAATGGTAATGTTTATTCTTATTACAACTTAATATAATAAAATTTGATATATCAAAATTTTAATATTTGGTATATATGGTAACTAATTCTAATTTGTTATATAAAATGTTTTCAATCAGTTGTATGAAGAAAGGTTCAAAATGTCAAGAATCTAAGAAAATTCTAATATGACATTAAAATCACTAAGGGTACTTAACCCTAAACCAGGGGGAGTGAGGACAACTTCACCTGCACATAACTACTCATATACCTAACCCTGACTTGTAACCTACATCTTTACACACATACACAAAAAAAATTAAACCACTCCACAAAAAACGGTATGGTAAATCTTATATAACAGTACAACCAATCAAGAACCAACTGATTCTGAATAAGCCTTTGTTCAGTTATTCAAGGAAAGGCAAACATAAAGGAAAGAAACCAGTACCTTTGCCACTAGTGTTCTCCATTGTATACAGGTAATCCATGTAAAAAGCCCCGAACCTCTGCATTCCAGCTATCTCAGTGTAGGTCTCCTGCCAACAAAGCAATGCAAACAGAACAAACATTGCATAAAAGAAACTTTTGAGTTTAAAACGTCTGACAAATCAGACACATATCCTTATACAGAATATACCAACACAAAGGATTACCAAAACTAAAGAACAGAGGTTATTCAAAGAATTCACTTCTAAGAAAAGTAATATTGCCTCTACTACAAACCACACAAAAAGGCATCTATAATTCTACTAGACATTTTGACCACTTTATCAATAATGTCTAGTTAATGAATACCTATAATGAAGGAGATAGTACATTCTTGACCTGTATCACTATAACAAAACTAATAATGTATACTCTTTAAATAGAGTTAATGCTTAAAAACTTCAGTACATATATATGAAATAGTTCAAACACCAAAGGCATACTAAAATATTCTAAATATATGTTTTTGGTCTATTTGTTGTTTTTTTATAGTCTTAGAATGTTTTTTTTTTTAATTTTTATTTTAAAGATGTGGGGTACAATTCAGGGTGAGGTATACAAATGGTCATTATACAGGTAAAGTTTGGGCCTCAATTTGGTCCCCCCTTCACCTGGTTTGAGGTAAGGGACCCTTAATGATGAAGTATGCCCCACCCCGGCAGTTTCCCACTACTGTCAATCCCTTTCTTATACTATTATGATAATTGCTCAGGGTCCACTTATGAGTGAGAACATGTGGTACTCAGAACTTTGCTAAATATATGTTAATTATGCAAGTCAACATTAAATTCTTTACTTTTAACTATGAAAGTAAATCTTGATGAAAAGAGTAAAATCTACATTATTTATCCTATTGCATTAATCTTCTGGCAACTATTTGAATTTTAACTTATTTCATAAATTAACATTTCATAAATATATTAACATTTCATAAGTATATCAGTATAATCTTACATGAAAAATTCAAATACTGAAAAGTATACATAGTAAAAAGGTAAATTCCTCATTTCTTCCCACACCCTAAAAGTAACAAAAATTAACAGAGGTAGTTCTACATGTTTCCTCCTCTATGACTATTTTAAAAGTAGGGCATAACTAAACAAAATATAGTTAAATCCTATATAAAGGTAAAAATCTCTTTACCCTTCTCAAATCTTTCTAGATGTATAAGCTATACAAAACATTTTTATATCTTTCAATAAACAGCAATCAGAATATATTATCTGAGCAGAAAGAAAGCAATCACAAGCATTCACCCAATGTGTCTACCCAAACATAGCCTAGAATTTGACTCAACTATATATTTTCTGACCTTATGATGAGCTGCATCCAAGATAAACTCTGCACGAATACCATTATTTTCTGGGCTTCGGTAATCAAACAATGAATTTGTAAGGTATGTCAACCCTTTTGTACTCAAATTTTCACCACAAATGAAGAAACAAGCTTCCTGAAAACCAATGCAAAACTTAGAAACAAGAAGAAAAATCATTAAGCTACTAAACAAAATAAATCATTGATTTCACGACACTCATTCACTAGTCAACAGAAATCACTAAAATGTGAGGTCCTACAAAAAGATAAGGAATAGTGTCTCCTTTTTCATTGACTATTCTGACAAAGAACATTTTAACAAGTCAAAAAGAAACTTCAAGCAGCTTTCATAAACAAAAAGGAAGAAATATTTATGAATTAGAAAGTAGGTGTTCATCAACAAGAGTTCATGCAAAATGAACATTTGTATTCCTAACCCCGAATATACCCCACATCTTTAAAATAAAAAATAAAAAAATTTTTAAAAAGAAAAAAAAAGAAAGTTGGTGGAACTATTGCTCAGGAGTTAACTGCTCCCAACTTTCTAAATTCCCCTGAGCTCTATAATTTCTTGCAAGGGAAATGGCGGAGGAAATAATAAACCTCCTCTTTCAAGCCAGAGATATATGTAGTATGACAGATTTTACATGGTTAAGCACTTCAATAAGCACTTCATTATCCCTTCATTCTATCCAAAAAGAAGGCGGAAAAGGAGATTTTTGACTTACCGGTTCACTTCTATTCATATTCTCTTCAAAATCTTTAACACCCATAATTCCTTTAAGGCACATGGCTCTGCAACCTACAAACCCGATCTGGCAATCAAAGAAAGGCTCTCCCATCATAAGAGCCTATAAGAAGAAAAGATACATTAGAACTAAGAACCTCAATTTAATAAAAGTGTTAGAGGCTTTTCTTGTAGAATTTTTAAATCAGTTAAACATCTTTAGAATTAGGGCCTTTCCAAATTTTTTTTTTTTACCATAAATTCTATTAAAATAACAAACATCTTACTTGTCTTTGTACCTCAAGCATACACTTCATGAACATTAATATGCACATACAAATCTACTCATACCAGCTTACACAAATTAAACGAAAAATTTTTTTAAATTAATATACATTATAGTAAACTCTTTCTTAAAGAAATAATTATTTCAATCAATACCACTATTAAAATAGAAATATAAAACTATAAACATAATTTAAAATATACTACTTATGATTAAAACATGTATTTATAAAATATTAACTTAAAGAACCAAAGATTTTAAGCATATATGTTCAATGTTGAAAGATTACCTCAACCGTAGTACCTTCTTGTTCCCAACACAATACTTCTTTAGATTTTACTTTCTGTGGGCTGTAATAACTACTCTCAGCTTGCATTTCTGTGAGCTAACAAATAAGAATATTAAGTAAATCAAAAATAGAATTAAATGGCAATAAGCTGTCATTATTATTGATGAAAACAAGGCCAATTTTAAGATTCAGGAAATTTAATTATTAAGCAGGAAAACAGGTGCAACAAAAACAGCTGTGACAGATTATCCATGATATGAAGGTTGAATTATGCTAGTCTAAACTTATATATAGAATTTAAATACCACTTTCTAACTCTTTAATATTGCTTTAAAAAGGGAACACTACATACAATAACTGTCCCATAATCATAAAAAGTTCATATATTCTGCCAAAAATTTACATATATTATAACTTCAATTCATTTTACATTCACTAATATATTCAACAACATTTCGCTTAAATTGTTTTCAAGACTTCTCACTATTTCTAATAAAAAAGAAAACTGTGAAGACATGCAAACAGATTTAACAAAACTCTAATTCCTATGAGGGAGGTAGAATCAAGGGTATGTATTTTCAAAGTAGTCTCTTATTAAATCTCATAGACTCATTCAGTCAGGAAATAAATACTTACTGATTGCCACCTACATGACAAGTACAGGTATACCTCATTTTACTGCTCTTAGCTTTACTGCACTTCGCAAATACTGTATTTTTTATAAAATGAAGGTTTGTGGCAAATTTACATCAAGCAAGTCTATCAGTGCCATTTCCCAACAGCATGTCCTCACTTCCTGTCTTGTTATATTTTGGTAATTCTCCAAATATTTCCATTTTTTTTGTTGTTATGATTATATCTGTTATGGTAATCTGTGATCAATGATCCTTGATGTTACTATTATAATTATTTTCGGATGCCATGGATATGCCCATATAAGATGGAGAACTTAATTGGTAAATGTTATACATGTTCAGACTGTTCCACTGTCTGGCTATTCCCAATCTCAATCCCTTTTCCTCCCTATTCCCTGAGACAAAACAATATTGAAATTAGGTCAAGTAATGCTACAATGGCCTAAGTGTTCAAGTAAAAGGAAAACTTCTCATCTCTCATTTTAAATCAAAAACCAGAAATTATTAATCTAAGTGAAAAAGACATGTCAAAAGCTGAGATAGGCCAAAGCTAGGCCTCTTGCACCAAACAGCTGACCCAGTTGTGAATGTAAAAGAAAAGTTACTGGAAATTTAAAATGCTACTCCAGGCCAAAAGCAGTGGCTCATGCCTGTAACATCATCACTTTGGGAAGCTAAGGGGGGAGGACCACTTGAGGCCAGGAGTTGGAGATCAGCCTGGGCAACACAGTAAGATCCCCCTCGTCTCTACTGAAGGGGAAGGGAGGGGAAGGAAGAGGAGGGGAGGGGGGAGTGGAGAGGAAGGGAGAGGAAGGGAAAAATAAAATAAAGAAGGGAAGGAGGGAAGGAGGGAGGGATTGAACACAGGAATGATAGAAAGTGAAACAGGCTTATTGCTGATATGGAGAAAGCTTGAGTGGTCTGGATAGAAGATCAAACAAGGCACAACATTCCTTTAAGATGAAGCCCTAATCCAGAGCAAGGACCTAACTCTCTTCTATTATATAAAGGCTGAGAGAGTTAAGAAAGTCGCAGAAGAAAAGTTTGAAGCTAGCAGAGTTTGGTTCATGAGGTTTAAGAGAAGTTGTTGCCGGGTTCGGTGGCTCAGCCTGTAATCCCGCGCCTTGGGGATGCTGAGGTGAGTGGATTGCCGGAGCCCACGGGTTGGAGACCCGCCAGGCAACTTGGCGAGACTTCATCTCTACAATAAATCAAAAAATCAGTCGGACGTGGTAGCACGTGCCTGTAATTCCGGCTACTCAGAAGGCTGAGGCGGAAGGATCACCGAAGCCCAGCAGGTAGAGGTCGAGACTGCAGTAGATGGGAAAGGCCACTGCACTCCAATCTGGGCGAGAGAGTGAAACTCCAACTCAAAAAAAAAAAAAAAAAGTAACTGTACTGATCCAGCAATTCCCCTATTGGGAATATACCTGAGGAACTCGAATTATTCTATGAAAAGATACCTGCACACGTGTCTGTTGCAGCTCTATTCACAAAGCAAAACATGGAACCAACCACGTTGCCCATCGAAGCTGTACTGAATTTAAAAAACGTGGTACATTTACACAATGGAATATTATGCAGTCATAAAGAAGGACAAATATACGGACTTTGTAGCAAATTGGATGGATTTCGAGTGTATCATACTCAGTGATTTATCACAGAAACAAAGACCTGAGTTCCATATGTTCTCACTCATAAGGTGAACTTGAACAATTATAATGCTATAAGAAAGCAATTGGCAGTAGTGGAAAAGTGGGGGGGGGGGGAACAGGTGGGACTGGCAGTTGAGGGAAACTGCTAGGGGAGGAGAGGCATACCTCATAAACAAGGGTACCTGCATGATCTATGTTTGTATACCTAACCCTGAATTGTACTCCACATCTTTATAATAAATAAATAAATTTTTTAAAAGAAAGAAAGTAATTATACTAAACAACAGATTTTCACTATAGGCAAAACAGCCTTCTTTTGGGAGGAGATGCCATCAGTTAGAGAGAAGTCAATGACTGGCTTCAAAGTTTCAAAGGACAGGCTGACACTCCTGTTAATTTAGTTGATGACTCCAAGTTGAAGATAATGCTCCTTTATCATTCTGAAAACCATAGGGTCCTTAAGAATTATGCTAAATCAGAGTGATTTATAAATGTGCTCTATAAAAGAAACAACAAAGCCTGAATGACAGTGCATCTATTTACAGTATAATTTACTAAATATTTTAAGCCATTTAAGACTTATTGTTCAGAAAAAAAGGATCCCTCTCAAAATATTACTGCTCATTGAAAATGTACTTGATTGTGCAAGAGCTCTGATGGAGATATACAAGGAGATGTTGTTTTCATGCCAGCTAATATAATATAACCATTCTGCAGTCCATGGATCAAGGAGTAATTTTGGCCTTCAAGTCTCATTATTCAAAACATAGGTTTTGTAATGCTACAGCCGCCATAATAGTGATTCTTCTGATGGATCTGGGAAAAGTAAATCAGAAATTTTCTGGAAAGGAGTCACCATTCCAGATGCCATTAACAACACTCATGATTCATGGGAGGAGGTAAAAATATCCATGCTAACTTCACTGAGTTTTGGAAGAATTTCATTCCAGTCCTCATGGATGACTTTGAAAGGTTGTGTTCAGTAGAGGAAGTAACTGCAGAAGTGGTGGAAACAGCATGATAACTAAAGTTAGAAATGGAACCTGAAGATGTACATGAATCACTGCAATCTCATGATAAACCATGAAAGGATAATGAGCTGCTTATTATGCATGAGCAAAAAATATGGCTTCTTGAAATGGAAACTACTCCTGGGAAAGATGCTGGGAACACTGTTGAAATGACAAGAAAGAATTCAGAATATTCCATAATCTTAATGGATAAAGCAGCAGCAGGGTTTAAGAAGACTGACTCCAGTTTCGATAGAAGTTCTTCTGGGGATAAAATGCTATCAAATAGCTTCTCATGCTACAGAAAACTTTCATGAAAGGAAGAGCAAACTGATGCAGCAACTTCATTGATGGCTTACTTTCAGAAATTGCCATAGTCACCCCAACCTTTAGCAATCACCACACATCAGCAGCCATCAACATCAAGGCAAGACTCGTTCAGCAAAAAGATTATACCTCACTGAAGGTTCAGATGTTCACTAGCATTTTTTAGCAGTAAAGAGCCTTTTAATACAGTATATACGTTGGGATTTTTTTCTTACATGTTATTACACACTTTATAAACTATAGTATAGTACAAATATGGCTTTTTTATGCACTGGGAAAACCAAAAAATTTGTGTGACTGGCTTTATCACACGATTTATTTTATTGCAGTGGTCTGGAACTGAACCTGTAATATCTTTGAAGTATGCCTGAACTAATCTAGATGCTGACAAAAGAAAATACTCTTGCTCCCTGAAATCTTAAATGTATTATGTGTTTCAAAAAAATAAATAATTCAAATTTTTTTGGTCTTAAGTTATTTTTAAAAGGTAGTATTCTAAATGCAATATGATATCCTGGTTTGAAAAAAGATACAAAATTAAATTAAAGTTTAAAATTTCACAGTAATACATTAGTTTTGAAATGACCTCTTAGTTTTGACAAATATACTGTAATAACATAACAAAGAGGAAACTGCTTAGGAACTATACTCTCTGAAACTTCTGTAATTCTAAAATTATTTCAAGATAAAAAGGTTACTTTTCTACAAAGATATTCTGCCCGTGTTTGTCAAAGCTTTAGTTACCCTTACTCTTGAGATAGATATATTCTTCAAATCTAAATGCAAGTCAAAGTTCATATTTTTAAAAAACAATATTTAACTTAGGCTACATAACAGTTACTGAACTAAACAGTTATATTTTTAAGTACAACATCGTCTTCATATTGTGTATCAATTGTTCTCATTTTTTATAATAACATTTTTGCATATTTTTAGTGTAATATAGGCTCCTATTCCTAGGATGTTTCTAGTAATGGTGTATATAATGTAGCTGTTTTAAAGCACAATTCTGTAATATAAAATGTTTAAAAGGAAAGTTGATTTTTTAAACTTGATCATCCTTCAGCTAGCTATAATTATTGTAGGAAAAAACCAATTAATTGATTAAAATGACTCAAATATTACAAGAACAATTTTAAGTATTATTAGAAAAATTAAACATTCAATTTGGCATTATTTTTGGTAGACCAATATCAACTGTTCAAAATGCTAATGTAGAAACTTGACCTTATTTTCTGACCAAAAAATTAGACACAATTAATTCCATCCATTTTTCAAATCCAAGCTGAACAATAAATTTTAATGCTAGCCTCCTAAATATTAACATATTTCCCCTACATAAAATTTTGAGAAACATAAATGTCCTAAAATTCTAAAAAGATACATTGACTAATGATAAATACTGCCCAAAAAGTCTATAAAACTTTTGTACATAAATACATATTCTGACTGACTCCATTAAATACAATTCTTCTCATAAATTAATAGAAACATACCAGAATAATTTAAAATTCATAAGTACATAAGTAAAAATCACCAGAAAGGATAATACCCAACTAGTAATCCTTAACTTTTCTCACAAGCTTATATTAAAAATAAATAGTTTATTCTGATCATCTACAACTGACAATATATCTAACAATAGTTGGCAACAGTTGGATTTTCATATTTTTAAATATTTTATTGTTTTATCATGTTGTAATATTGAAAATTGATCCACATCTTTTTAATTTAATCAGTGAATTAAATTACAAACATGATTTCAGTAGAAAAATTCAGAATAAATAATGGTGTTAAAACAGCACAGCTAATATACACATTTTTATCATTTTTGCCCAAATTTTAAAACAATCAAGCTGTGACATAAACTTCTGTTGAAACATATTCTCTATAGTTCCCTATAGTTTTTCAGCTTCTGTCATGTTAGAAAATACTGAATATTAATTAGTTAAGTCTTTAAAGAATATTTATATTAAAGTATAATTTGCTATCTGCTATAGTTATAAATCGTATACCTTTATTACTAAGTGAAAATTATTTCAAGCAGTTAAACAATCCAAATAAATTAAAAACCATGCGAGCAGAAACTTGAAAAGATCCTCTTTATTTCATTCATGTCTCACAATAAAAGATACCAGGATATACTGCCTATTTGACCTTCAAAACACATCCAAAAATCAATCACTTTCACTACTTCCTCTTACTACCACGCTACTCCAAGTCATTATAGTATCTTGCTTGAAAACTGCAGTCCTATTTATCTGATTTCCCTACTTCTGCTTTTGCACCCCTATAATCTACTTTCATTACAGCCAACAGGGTACTCCAGTTTAAAATGTAACCCAGGTCATCTAATTATTGCTAAAAATTATCCAAAAATATCCTATCTTACTCAGAATAAAAGACAAAGTACCAAAAATATTCTATACAGTTTTACAACTTATGAACTGCACCAAACCCCATTTCCTCTGTGATTTGATTTCATGCTACATTCACATTAGCCCATGGTCCTCCAGCCCCACTGGCTTCCTTGATGTTCCTTATACTTTTGGGGCCTTTACATTTGGTATTACTGAAATGCTCGTTTCCACATATCTGTAAGGTGCCTTCTTTCACAGGTCATTGCTTAATATCCCCTTCACAATAAGGCTTCCTCTGATCAACCAATTTTAAATTACATAATTTCACCTCTAGTGGAAGCACTCAACATTCCTCTTCCCATCTGATTTTTCTACATAATCTTTATTCTCAGTGGACATACTACATATCTTATTCATAATATCAGTTTAAGTTCTAAGAAGCAGGGGTTTCTATCTGTTCACTCTGGTATCTCTAGAGACAAAACCATGCCTGGACCACAGCTCGTAGTAAAAATATTTGTTGAATGAATTAAGATACTCTTCAGGGGTACTCCGTATATGGCAACAGCATATAAAAATCCAGGGAAAAAAATAACTCAAAATTCGGTTGGGTTATATTTGAGAAGAAGAGAAGGCAAAATATGATCAAAGAAGAACAAATAGGGTGATCAAAGGTGCTAGTAATTCTAGTTTAAATATAAATATAAATATATATAAATTCTAGTTTAAATATAAATATAAAAATTTATATTTTATGTATTACATAAATTTTTATATAAAAAAGAATATATTTTATATGCATTATTTTAATGGAGACAGTGGTCAAAGTATGTTAAATTCTGTTGAAAAATGGTTAAAAGAGGAGCTAGATAAGAAATTATTCTTAAAGAATGAAAGAGAGGTAAGAAAAGAGACAAATTGTACATAAACAATCCTACAGTAGTTTGCAGGAGTACATCAAGGGAGATCACTGATGTGCCTTTCTTTTTTAAGGAAAATATTAAGCATGTTAGCATGCAAACTGAATGATTCAGTAAGTAAAAGAAAACAATATCCATGAAGCTGATAAAAAGAAATGTGGAGAAGGCCTAAGAAGATAAAAAGGGACAAAAATGCAAAGGTTTCAGATGAAGGACACATGTAATTTTATTAAGTAAGAATTGTTGGACTCTATCTTATATCTATTGAGTACAAAACAAATTTTAGTTAAGCTGGAATCTTACTAACAATCAAAATTTAAGCGTTAAAATTGACAGAGATATGAAGAGCAAGAGAAAAGAAACTTACTTTGAAAGTCACAGTAGCCTTTGTGCAGTAAAATCCTATAGAAATAGTAGGATCCTTCAAAGTCTGGGCTTTTTGCTGATGCGTGATTGATGTAGAATCATTCCCAAGGTAGTCTTCCTCACCATCATCATAATTCACAATTGCAGGCACAAATGACCAGGCCCAAGAAACCCATCCCTGTGACTGCTCATCATCTTGCTGTGAATACAACTCTTGGCCTTTATACTGAGCAGGGTACTGCATATCTACTCTTGTTTCATCTTCGGCACCTATTAATTAAAATAATTTTAAATAAATCAAGAGTATTCAATTGAAAGAAAAATTAAAAACAGACATTCTTTAAAAATTTTCCTCCCATATCCTTCTGTCTAATATAAGATAGAAACAAATCATACAAATTAGTTATTATTTGAAACCAATAATTCAGCATTATCATTCACCAATTTCTGTAAGTTGTACTGTGTCAATCTCCTTTAAAAGGTTAGAATTGATGTTATGCAGAGAATAGTTTATCAACTACACATAATTTTAAATGTATTCAATAAACACACAGAATAAATTAATTATTTAACATCACTATTTAATTTTTTAAACCAACAAAAAAAACTACCTCTCAAAAATAAGGCTAATGTGTTGAAAAACTGACCTTTCTCAGAAATATAATACCAGAAAGGACGCAAGAAAAGTTCTTGAATTCCTGACGCATCCAATGGAGAGAAAATAAATGCTTCTAGGCAAAATGCAAATGGCAAATGCTTCTAGGCAAAATGCAATCTCAAGAAAAAGAAATATCCCAAAGAATGAAAGGAAATGTGACAATGAGATAACTTACACATGTATTAGTTAAGAAAACTAACAGTAAAAAATAAAAATAATTTTAAAAAGGAAAATAATATTGTTGAGACCTTTTTCTTTTTCTTGTTTTTTGAGTGGGAGTCTCACTCCGTCACCCAGGCTGGAGTGCAGTGGCAGACGCATGGCCACCCCAGCGTCGACCTGCTGAACTCAGGCGATCCTTCTGCCTCAGCGTTCTGAGTAGCCGAAGTGCTACCACGCCCAACTAATTTTTTAATGTAAAAATGAGGTCTTGCTAAGTTGCCCAGGCTGTTCACAAACCCGTGAGCTCAAGCAATCCCCTCACCTCAGCCTCCCAAAGTGCTGGGATTACAGGCTTAAGCCACTGGGGCCTTTTTCTTACTAGTGGGTAAGATATGTTGGTATTTTTTTCTTTTCTATAGATGAAAAATGTTATAGCTATTTCATTTAGTTGTGACTGGGCAAACTAAAGATTTAGTTAATTTATTCCACCTTTGTAAAACAAACTCCATCAAAGTCCCTTAATATTATTCTAGTAATACAAACAAAAAGGTATATCATGATGGAAATTTAGAAAGAAAAAAATTACTTTCTAAAAAATTCATAGGATAAGCAGTCTCCACCAGATTCAAGCATATCTACTCTCTATTGATAAATCTATAAATACACATACTCCTTTAAATCTTTAAATACTATCTTTCCAGGTTTTCTGTTAAGACAACCTTCATAACTTTTCAAACTCTTGTAGCAGGAGATCACTGGAATATCCTACATTTGCAAGTTATGACCACTTACCTTCTTTCATCTGGGAAGAAAAAGGTTTGATAAGCATTAACTAGAATAACTATAATATAGTATCATTGTACTTCAAAATAAGTTAAAGTTACAAATCCAGACAATGCTTTACATAATCTTTATATCTTTTTATTCACCATAAATAGATAAATATATAAATGTAAATTTATATAAGAGAATAAAGCCTGTTATTAATTGTCCCCAGTAAGATATCAAATTCAACATTATCACTATCATTTCTGTTATAAAACAAGCAATCACATCACTTCAACTCCAGACTTAATAATGACCAGGTTGAATTCACAGAGCTGGACTCTAAAACTCTCGTCTAACCCATTAAAACATGAGTAGTCAATACTTGAGCTTTTGAAGCAAACGAAAGAAACGTCACTAAGAAACATCTGAGAAACCAGTCATTATAATTTTTATCTAATACTGAAACATACAAGGAATTTTGATGAATGATGCTTCTGAAGTTCCAAATCTTTGCTCACTGACCTACAAAAAGAATAAATCAGGGCATGGAAAATTAAAAAAAGCATCTCCAGGATATCTAGTCAGAATTTCATAAAATACTCTTTTCCTTTGGAATAGTATATGTTAATCTAGGGTCTTGTAATAAAATTTAGGAATTCCATGAATTTCAATGGGAAAATGTATATACAGTATTAAGTATTTAACTAAAAAGTATCATTTTCCTAAAAAAAAGTATCATTCTCTTCATTATTAATGTAGGTAAAAAACCACATTTACATTATCAGCGAATCACAGATACAGTCATGCTCTGTGTAACAAGGTTTAAGTCAACAACAGACCACTTACGGTGGTTCCATAAGAACACAAGAAAGTTGAAAAATTCCTATCATCTAGTGATATTATAACCATCATAAGTAAAGTCATAGAGCAATGCACCACTCATGTATTTGTGGTGATGCTCATATAAACAAATCTGCTGCAGTTCTGAATCATTTGAAAGCACAGCACATACAAATATGTACAGTACATAATACTTGATAATTATAATAAATGACTATGTACTGGCTTATGTATTAATATTTACCCTACTATACCTTTATCATTTAATTTTAGAGTATACTACTTCTAATCTTTTTTTTTTAAGTTAACTGCAAAACATCCTCAAGTAGCTCCTTCAGGAGGTAGTCTAGAAAAAAGCATTGTTATCATAGGAGATGACAGTTCCTCGTGTGTTACTGCACCAGGAGACCATCCAATGGGATAAGATGTAGAGGTGGACAGTGATAACTGATGATCCTAACCCTGGGTAGGCCTAGACTAATGTGTGTGTTTGTGTCTTAGTTTTCAACAAAAAAGTGTAAAAAGCAAAAAAGTTAAAAGTTTAAAAATAGAGAAAAGCTTATAGATTAAGAATATAAAAAAGGAAAATATTTTTGTACAGGTATACAACATATTTGTGTTTTGAGCTAAGTGTTATGACAAAAAAGTCAAAAAGTTTTTAAAAATTCTATAAAGTAAAAGTTATCATAAGCTAAGGTTAATTTATTAATGAAGAAAAATATTTTTTTTATAAATTTAAGGTAGCCTAGGCATATAGTGTTTATAAAGTCTACAGCAGACCAGGTATAGTGGCTCATGACTATAATCCCAGCACTTTGGAAGGTTGAGGCAGGAGGATTGTTTGAGCCCAAGAGTTCAAGACCAGCCTAAGTATCCTATTGAGATCCTGTTTCTACAAAAACATCAAAAAATTAGCTGGGTGTGGTGGTACATGCCTATAGTCCCAGCTACTCGGGGGGCTGAGGCAGAAGGATTGTTTGAGCCTAGGAGTTTGAGGTAGGGTAAGCCATGATGTGCAACAGCTTAGGCAAAAAAGTAAGATCTTGACTCAAAAATAAATAGTCTACAGTAGTATAGCATTACATCCTAGGCCTTGACATTCACTCATCACTTACTCACTGACTCACACAAAGCAACTTCCAGTCTTACAAATCCATTCATGGTAAGTATACTATACAGGTATATCATATTTTATCTTTTATACCATATTTTTATTGTACTTTTTCTATGTTTAGATATATAAATACTTAGCATTGTGTTACAATTACCTACAGAATTCAGAACAGTAACATGTTGCAGCTGCACAGGTTTATAATCTATGAACAATAAGCTACACCATACAGCCTAGGTGTGTAGTAGGATATATCCATCTAGGTTTGTGTAAATACACTCTAAAACGTTCACAAAATGATGAAATCACCTAATGACTCATTTCTCAGGACATAAACCCATTGTTAAGCAACGTATGACTGTATATCATATAACAGTTGTGCACCTAACTCAAAATATTCACACTCATTACTACTTTGAAACTATGATAGCTATTAGACCTACCGCCGTATCTCTATATTTAATGTGTTAACAGAGAATCATATATATTACTACATTATCATTTCAATACAGTCATATTTCAATATAGTTTCTTTTCTAATCCAATATCTTTACTTTAAGCATTTAAAACATTCAGAGTTTTCATATTGCCAAGATGGAGTAAAAGAGAATTTACCCTCTAAAAGAAAGAAAGAGAGAGAGAGAGAATGAAAGAAAGAAAGAGCCGGGATCGGTAATCCCATGCTTTGGGAGGCTGAGGTGAGTGGATTGCCTGAGCTCACGGGTTCGAGACCCGCCTGGGCAACTTGGCGAGACCTCATCTTTACAATAAATCAAAAATCAGATGGGCGTGGTAGCGCATGCCTGTAGTTCCAGCTACTTGGAAGGCTGAGGCGGAAGGACTGCCGGAGCCCAGCAGGTCGAGGTTGCAGCGGCCGAGAGCGGCCACTGCACTCCAGTATGGGTGACAGAGTGAGACTCCAACTCAAAAAAAAAAAAAAGAAAAGAAAGAGAGAAAGACAGACAAGACAAAACATATGAAACAATGGTCTTCAGACACTGGATATCAGGCAATGAAGATCAATGACTTCTGATAGACAGGGAACAACAGAAATGAGCTCTGCAATTGGCCCAGCTTACTACTTGGACTGTATTTCTAAACGATGGCCAGCAAACAGGAAATCCAAGCAGAGTTCAACAGTCTCCCTTAGACGAGAAGACAGAGTTGAAAGATTGTCTAAGGAGACTAAGTTGGCTGGACTTTGCAGGGAAGAGCACTGAACAAGAAAGCTGCTCAGAGAGCCCTTGAGATTCGCAGAATCTTCCTTCAGTATACCTTCAGCTGAGTACTAATAGGCGCATGCATGTAAGGAAATTGTCTGAGGCCATTAAGAGAACCAGCAGAATGGAGCCAAGGGAACAACCCTCAGGACTCCTACAGGAATGGGAATCGTTTTTGCTTCCACCAACAAGGAAGAAAACTTTTCAATTCATAGGTCATCAGGTAGAATACTCCACAGAGTACTATGTTAGTAGTGATACAAAATTCTAAGCTAATGGCTGCTCTGATCCCATCTAACAAGCCTTAAAAGCAAGTCTCAAATGAACTAAATTGTTTCCAAGAAACTTAAAAACTTGGAACAGAAAAATATTTAGCACCCAAAAAGATAAAATTTACAATGTCTGACATCCAATTACAAATTATCAGGTATAAAAACAAGCAAAAACTAATAACCCATAACTAGGAAAAAAGAGTCAATCACTAGAAACAGATCCAGAAATGGCACAGATCATAACATTAGTAAAGAAGAAAATGAAAGAAGCCAAAAATATAAAATGCATATGTTAAAGAATACATACACAGGGTTAACGAGACATAAAACATATAATAAAAGACCTGAATTGAACTTCTAAAAATGAAAAATACAATATCTGAAATGAAATTGACAGTAGACGTGATTAACAGCAGATTAGACAAAGCAGTTTAGTGAACTAGAACAGAAATATAAACTATCCAAAAGGAAACTCACATAAAAATATGAATGGAGCATCAGAGAGCTCTGTCCACTATCAAGCAGCTTAAACATGTGTAATTGGAGTTCCCAATAAAGTAGAGAGGGGAACTGAAAACACTGTTTACAGAAACAACAGCCAGAATTGCTCCACATATGGATGAAAGCTATAAACCCACAAATAGAAAAACCTCAACGAACTTCAAGCAAAAGTAACATGAAGAAATTATACCAAACCATATAATAACCAAATCACTTGAAACCTGAGAAGAGGCCAGACATGGTGGCTCACGTCTGAAACCTAAAGCAATTTGGGAGGCAGAGGCAAGAGGACTGAGCCCAGCTCTCAAGACCAGGCTGGGCAACTTGGCAAGACCTCACCTCTACAATAAATCAAAAAATGAGGCAGGCATGGTGGCACACACCTGGAGTCCCAGCTACTTGGAAGGCTGAAGTGGAAGAACAGCCAGCAGATCGAGCCTGTGATAGCCACTGTACTCCAGCCTGGGCAACAGAGTTAAGACTCTGAATCAGAAAACAAAAAAACTCCAGAATGCAAGGCTGGGTATCGTGGCTCACACCTATAATCCCAGCACTTGGAAGGCTGAGGCAGGAGGATAGCTTGAGTCCAGGAATTTGAGACCAGCCTGCGCAAACATAGTGAGACTTCACCTCTACAATAAAATAAAAATAAGCCGGGCTCAGTGGCTCAGCCTGTAATCCCGTGCCTTTGGGAGGTTGAGGTGAGTGGATTGCCTGAGCCCACAGGTTCGAGACCCGCCTGGGCAGTGAGACCTCATCTCTACAATAAATCAAAAAATCAGCCGGGCGTGGTAGCGCACGCCTGTAGTTCCAGCTACTTGGAAGGCTGAGGCGGAAGGATTGCCGGAGCCCAGCAGGCGAGGCTGAGGTGGCCGGGAGCAGCCACTGCACTCCAGTCTGGGTGACAGAGTGAGATTCCACCTCAAAAATAAATAAATAAACAATAAAAAATAAACATAAAAAAATTATCTGAGCATGGTGATGCACACCTATAGTCCCAGCAACTTGGGAGGATTGAGACAGGAAGATCATGTAAGTCCAGGAGGTCAAGGATGTGGTAAGTCAAGATCACACCACTACATTCCATCCCAGGCAACACAGTGAAACCTTATCTCAAAAAAGCAAAACTCCAGAACTGTGTTCGGGAGGCAGGGGAATGGGTGGACAACTAGAAAGGTGTATAATGAACCTTCTCAGATGTTAATGATCTATATCTTGATGAGAGTTTTACATCACATAGGTATGAATTTTCCAAAAGTCATTAAATAGTGTACTTAAAATTTGTACATAACACTTTGTAAATTTAACCTTTGAAAAAGTAAAAAGAACCTATAAACATAAACTCTAGATAACAATATAAAGCTGAGGTATAGGGGTAAGGTGTGCTAATGTCTGTAACTTACTTTGAAATGCATCAAAAACATTGGTTGTGTTGATAGCGAAAGGGATGTTAGGTGAACCAATATGTGATGAAGTAAATATAACAGAATATTAATAGTAGAATCCAGACGATATGTGAGTATTCACTTTACAACTCTTTCAATTTTTCTACATGTTTGAAATTTGTCAAATTGGAAAAAAATGAACTGAGCATATTCTTTGTGCTAGGTTTTGCTGTAGGTATAAGGCACTGTTCCTGAATAGTTCAGTATCTAACAAAAATTCAATGTCTAGTATGAAATAAAGGTATGTTTTATACATACTCTTATTGAGTGTTGTTCCCTATGCTTTTTATTAAGGCAGTTAAGTTTTTTTTAAAGACATAAAATTTAAATAGCATAAAATTCACCCCTTTACAAGTGTACAAGACAGGGTTTTAATATAATCGTAATTTGCAATTTGTTTTCTCTCCTCCCTGCAGTCCCTGGTTACTAACCTCCTTCCTTCTAAACATTTCAAAAGGAATCATAGAATATGCATTCCTTTTTGACTGGCTGCTTTCACTTAAGATAATGCTTTCAAAGTTTATCCATGTTGTAACATGAATCAGTATTTCACTCCTTTGTATAGTTGAATACTATTCCAATGTATGGGTATACCATAATTTAAAAATTCATTCAAAAGCTGATAAACATTTGGATTGTTTCCAGTTTTTGCATTTATAAATAATATTGACAGGAACATTCCTATACAAGGATTTATGTGGACATATATTATCAATCCTCTTGGTACATACCTAGGAGTAAAATTTCTGGGTCATAATGTTAACTCTATATGCAACTTTTTTAAGGACTGCCAGATTGTTTTCTAAAGTAGCTATACTATTTTATTTATTCCCAATGATGATATATGAGCTCTAATTTTTACACATTCTCATCAACATGAGTTATTATGCTTCTTTTTTATTATAGTCATCCCAATGGCTGTGCACTGGTATCTCATTAAGATTTTGATTAGCATTACTTTCTTGACTAATGATGCTGAGAATCTTTTCATGTGTTTGTTGGCCATCTGCTATTTGTCCTTTTTTTTAATTTTTTTAGTAGCGGTCTCACTCTGTTGCCTAGAGTGCAGTAGCATGATCATGACCAACCTCAATCTCCAGGACTCTAAGGATCCTTCCACCTCAGCATCCCAAGCAGCTGAGACCACAGACACAAACCACAACACCTGTAGTGTCGTGATTTTTTTAGAGATGAGGTCTCACTATGTTGTCCAGGTTGATCTTGAACTAGCTCAAGCAAACCCCCTGCCTAGGTCTTCTAGAGAGCTGGAATTACAAGAGTGAACCACAGTGCCCAGTCTATTTGTCCATTTTTAAATTGGGTTATTTGTTCCTAACTTTTAAATTCCCTTCTCTTATCTATGAAGATTAAAAATCATCTTAAAGTTTTCTGACTCTCAGGCCCAATACCAAGTCAAAGTCAATCACTCCTTTCATCTTTCTACCTCAGACCATTCACACCTCTACTTATCAAACTTTCTACCATTCTATCATTCATCATACTTAACTGTTCACACGTCAGTCTGTCCCATTTTGCCTTGAGATTCTAAAGGGAATCTTAAAGAGAATACATCACATTGATCTCTGTATTTTTTTACATTACATATCCTTCAATGAAGCATACATTACTTAATAATTAATAGTCTAAAATAACTCAATTTAATTCTTAGTGAACCTTTGCAGAACAATTACCAATACTATAATTTACTAGGAAATCTTGAGGTTGTACTGCTTTAACTTTCATACCTCAAGTTTTATAAAATGTACATTCTGAAAATTTATACCTATTAGAAATACAAAAGTTATTTTCAGCATGTTGGAAAAAAATCAGAACAGAATCCAACATGTAGATAAAATTAATAAGACCAATAGCATTTTAAAGTTTTGTTTTTATAAAGTTTTTGTTATACTTACCTGTAATATTTCCTAACACATCGTTATTGTGACAGGTAGGGTCCTCTATTTCTCCATCTTTAAAACTGCCTATTTCTCCATAATAAAGAGCAATCCCAAGTTGCATTATACGAATAAACATGGGCAACTGTTGATCTGTGATAGAAAGTTTCAAACTCTCCACTAAAGTATGAATCTGTATTTTGAAAAAGACAAAAATATCAATAAAAAGAGTTGATTTAAAGGGAGTGGCATTTAAGTAAAAAAAAAAAAAAAGTCAGTCTTAAAATGAGACATCATAAAAGAAACACTCAAACATTTCTAATATTTACGCCAAAATAAAATTTACTCTAAAGTCTTAGTAATTAAATAAATTTTGCTATGATGATCAATAAACTTTACACAGAAACTACATATAAGCCTAATGATATAGATACAAATACAATAAAGAGAAGATATATGAAGATTAATATTCAAGATAATTATTCCATAAGAAAAGTTATATAACCAAATACCTATTTTATAACATTAAGAGTATGATAGTACCACCCTCCAAAACAGAAAGATTTCTGTCAAAACCAAGAATAATAAAAATTTTATGATGTCACTTTAGTAAAACTTTTAAAGTTTTTTATTAACCAAAAAGAATGCATATATATCCTAAAACCATATGTTAAGTGGGGAAAAGACTAGTAACTATAAAAATATAATAAATTTTTTATCAAATATGAAAAACCAAGTGAAATGTAAGTTCAAATAAGTTTTTCAGACAAATTTTAATAAGGTGTAAATTACATAAGATTTGTTCAAGTGACAAAATAAATCAATTATAACAAATACAAGACAATAATTACTAGCAAATAGAATACCTAGCAATCGGAGTTTTCCTTCAATGAAGAGATATCAATGAAATATAAACACAGTTTCAGTGTAATAGTTTACTGCTGTTATATAAACATGGGATAAAACCAATTAAGCCATAAAGGCAAGTCTCTTAGAAGGTTTACTTTGACTAACATATCTGAGTATCTATGAAACATAAAAAAGAAGTAAAGGTAATCATCATATTTTTATGATGAGTACAACACAAAAAAAATTATACTTGAAGAGGCAGAAAGTTGTATGAGATGAGTATAAAATATCCTATTGTCAACTTGAACACAAATATTTGAAGTATAAACTAAATATCATATGCTAAATAAACCATGAAAAGGAAGAAAGGATGAGGAGTGAGCAGAGGAATATGCAGGCCTATAAGGTGTTATTTTAAATACTGGATTGTACCAATAGCACTAGAGATAAAATCAGCAAAACCAATAATAAAGAATCTGTCATATATATGCATTAAAAACTCTTTAAAATCAGTTAAAAATAATTAATCCTTAATAGAAAAATGGATAAAGAACTGAAATGGATCATTCAAAGAATAAACAAACAGCCAGTAAATGTATTTTCAAAAACCTAATTTCACTTTAAAATGTCAATTGAACTATATATTATTTATTATTCAACAATTTGACAGTTTCTAGAATATACTGAAGGATACCAACAGTGTAAAATAGGCACTTCCCTTAATGTTCATGGAAGTAGACCCTGGTTAAACCTTTCTAGGGAAAAAAATGGTAATATGAATCATAGGCCTTAAAAAATTTAAACCCGTTAATAAGATAATTTGTAATTATACAGATCTTTCCTAAGGAATTCATCAAAAATATGGCCAAAGATTTATGTGCAGAATTTCATTCCTCTGAAAAACTGCAAAAAACTTCCAAAAATAGGAGAAATGTTAAATATAAATAAATCATGCACCCATATGATCTATATCTCATAAATGTCATAATCTTTTCTTTTTTTTTTTTGAGTTGGAGTCTCACTCTGTCGCCCAGACTGGAATGCAGTGGCCGCTCCCGGCCACCGCAGCCTCAACCTGCTGGGCTCCGGCGATCCTTCCGCCTCAGCCTTCCGAGTAGCCGGAATTACTGGCATGTGCTACCACGCCCGGCTGATTTTTTAATTTATTGTAGAGATGAGGTCTCACTGCCCAGGCGGGTCTCGAACTCGCGGGCTCAGGCAATCCACTCACCTCAGCCTCCCAAAGCACGGGATTACAGACTGAGCCACCAAGCCCGGCTAGGACATGTTTGTTTCATTTAAAAAAAAAAGCAGAAAATTATAAAAAGGTTAATCAAAATATAAATAAATAAATTCAAGCGTCACTTAAACGAACATATGTGAAAAGCTGAAAAATAATTAGGGGCCGGGCTCGGTGGCTCAGCCTTTAATCCCAGCACTCTGGGAGGCCAAGGTGAGTGGACTGCCTGAGCCCACGGGTTCAAGACCAGCCTGGGCAACTTGGCAAGACCTCATCTCTACAATAAAATAAAATAAAAATAATTAGCCAGGAATGCCTGTAGTATTGGCTACCTGGAAGGCTGAGGTGGAAAAATTGCCGGAGTCCAGCAGGTCGACACTGAGGTGGCTGTGAGCATGCCACTGCACTCCAGTCAGGGCAATTGAGTGAGACTTCAACTCAAATAAACAAACAAATAAATAAATAATAACAATAATAATAATTAGGGTATCTGGAACATTTTGGGAAACCTCAGTCTTTGAGGTGATCAATTAAGTCAAACACATTTCCAGCCAGGCACAATGGCTCATGCATGTAATCTCAGCAATTTGGAAGGTCAAAATGGGAGGATTACTTAAACCCAGAAGATTGAGACCTGCATGAACAACACAGCGAGACCTCATCTCTATTAAAAAAAAAAAAAAAATCAACAAATTAACCTGGCATGCCCCAGCTACTTAGGAAACTGAGGAGGTTAGATTCCTTTAGCCCAGGAGTCTAAGACTGTAGTGAGCCATGATCACATGCCACTTTACTGCTGTCTGGGCAACAGAGTGAGACACTGGCTCAAAATGTATGACTGGGAGTTGGAAGAATGATGGAACTAACCCAAAATGGCAAATCTTACGTTATAACAGAATTAATAAAAAACTCAAAAATTGAATTATATATATATATCTATATATATATATAGATAGATATCATACTGGTATCACATATTTGGTGATTACAGGAGTAAAAAATCCACATGCCAATAAGGTTATTTATGTTAATGAAATGCCATAGCCAATCAGTTTTGAGAACACAAACTTGCTTATATACCAACACTAAGTTTTTCGTCAAGTTCATTAATTTTTACTTTCCTCTAATTTAGCCAAATCCTAGAACGCACAACTACATTTGCACAAATGATCTACAAAAGTTATGTTATATAGTAAAGCTTCCATATCTCTATTACTTGCTTTCCATATATCGTGAATTTGCTTTCACATTCCCCAACTTTATTAGCAGATCCAAAGTTAAAGAAAGTAAGCTCATTTTCCTGAGACAGAGATATCAGTACTATTTTTAAATTATTTTCTTTTTATTTTTATAATAGAGACAGGGTCTCAAGTGTGTTGCCCAGGCTGGTCTTCAACTCCTGGGCTCAAGTAATCCTCCTGCCTCAACCGCCCAAAGTGCTGGGATTATAGGCCTTAGACACCGCAACTGGCTGAAATTTTAGTTTAAATTTTTTTTCTTGTTTTTAAGTACCATTGAGTTAATTCTTTTCCATGCTTATCTTTGCCAAAGAAGAAAGCATACCAATATACATTATACACAGTGGGGAAAAAAAGGAAGACTCAGATGACTGAGAACTACCAAGGAAAAACAGGTATATTTGATGTATAAATGTAAAATAAAGAAAGGCTACATAAAGTAGAAAGTATTTTATATTTTAATAAAACACAGCATAACAAAATAAACTAACATTTATAAAGTGATACTCAAACAGGCATGGTAGTCAATACCAGAGTTCAGACTCTTAAGTCTAGTTCTTCCATCAGGACTGCATCTGTCAGAGGCAAGTAATTCAACAATAAAAATGTAACCCACATTTAAATTTATTAATAGGATCACAAGACACTGTGCGAATTCCTTTCCTAAGATACAATAACAGTGTTCAAAAAAACTGTTAAATAACAAGACAGCAAGATTTTTGCTTAGATACTAGCCATACACACTGAAAACATATATACTACCTTGGAGAACAAATTTTAACATGTATCAAAAGACATGTCCTGAATAATTGTCATATTCTAGTGTGGTTATAATTATACTTTTCTTATATGATTTCCTCTAACTCCTTGAAGAGAGAAACGCTAATAAACAGTTTAGAAACTAAAAAAGAAAAAAAAAATTACAGTTACAAAAAAAAAAATTCCCCAATATCTCTACAACATGTATAACAAAGTTATAAATATATATTATAGAATAACATTAAAAATAAGCATCAAAAACTTTTTACAAAAACAAATGGCATATATATTTATGAGGTTTATTTCTTCTTGGTTTATTAATTATAATTAGCATGCACAAAGGTCAATAAAAAAAAGACATGCAATTTAACTATTAGAAGAACAAAAACACCTACTTTAATAACAGATGGCATCTTGGAATTAAGGTTATCATATGTAAAATGAAGACGAGTTCTGAAGGAACATTTGTATAATAAAGGATCCTGGTAAAATTCTATTTTACCACTGGCATTCCGTTTATCAAGACAAACAGTACAGTCTGAAAAATTGATAACCTTTCTCAGCACCAGATCATTTGCTAAAAAGAAGAGGAAAACATTTTAAGTAAAAAGTTAAAGTAGGGGAAAAAGGCAATTATTATTAATAGTACAAATAGTAACTAAAATAGTAGCAAATAAAATTCATAGAGTATTTAATACATGATGCCAGATCTTACGCAAAGAGTTTTTCATGTATTATATCATTTAAATCTTCCAACAACCTTATGAAATGGGCACAATTATCCCCATCTCATATATGAAGAAGAGACAGAATTAATTTCCCCCCATTTGCATAGCACATAGCTACAAATTCAAGCCAAAAGTCTTGAAAATTTCCTAATGGTTCTTTGGCACACTAATAATACAATTCTTAAGAATCCATCTGAAAAATAACTTTCTGAATAATAATTATTCATTTAACTTTTATTTTACACTAAAAATTCACTGCTACTCTAAATCTATGCTGTCCAATGTTAGTCACCAGGCACACGTGGCTACATATACAAAAAGATTCACACAACACTGCTTTTTTGTTTGTTTGTTTGTTTTGAGTCAAGGTCTCACTCTGTTGCTCAGGATGGAGTGCAGTGACAAGATCAAGCTCACCACAGCCTCAGACTCCTGGGTTCAAGCTATCCTTCCACTTCAGCCTCCCAAAGTGCTGGGATCACAGACATGAGCCACCAGACCCAGCGCATACAGCAAAAATCTGGAAATAATCCAAATGACCACTGCCAAAGAGTAGATAATTAAGTTCTAGCATACATAAACTGTAGAGTATCAGTCATCAGTGGAAATGAACGTTATACAACTACTGCATATGCAACAATATGGAAAAATACTTAAAAAGCATAGTATGGATTAAAAACAGCAATCCCAAAACACAACACACAAGAATACTATCTGTAAGAGATGGGTAGAAAGCTTACTCAAAGAAATAGCAACAAAAAAACTTTCCAAACTTGAAGAAAGAGATAAATATCTAGGTACAAAAAAGTCAAAGGTCACCAGTCAGGTTGAACCCAAGTTTATAAAGCAAGACACAGTATAATTAATTAAACTCTCAAAAATCAAAAACAGAGAAGACCATGAAAGCAAAGAAAAGGAACAAACGTCATTTAAGGAAGTTCTAATATACCTGACAACAAACTTGTCAGCAGAAATATCACAGAGCAGGAGGGAGTGAGATGATATACTTGTCAGTAAGTAGCTTGAATGTAAACAGATTAAATTCTCCAATTAAAAGATATATAGGTCGGGTTCAGTGGCTCAGCCTGTAATCCCAGCACTTTGGAAAACTGAGTCGTGTGGTCTGCCTGAGCCTGCAGGTTCAAGACCAGCTCCGGAAACTTGGCGAGACCGCATCTCTACAAAAAATCAAAAAAATTAGCTGGGCATATTAGTGCGTGCCTGTAGTTCCATCTACTTGGAAGGCTGAGGCGGAAGGATTGCTGTAGCCCAACAGGTTGACGCTGGGGTGGCTGTGAATATGCCACTGCACTCCAACCTGGGTAAAAGAGACTCCAACTTAAAAAAAAAAAACCCAGAGAATAACTACTTACATACAAGAGAATAACTACTTCACCTGTGAAGACATGCATAGACTAAAAATTCCACATAAATGAAAACAATAAGGAGGAAAAGTAGCTATATTTGTCAGATAAAATAGACTGTAAGCCAAAAACTATAACAAAAAAAAAATTATATAATGATAAAGGGATCAATATAGCAAGAGGATATAAAAATTATAAAACTATATAAAAATGTGCTATATAAACTATATAAAACTATATAAAAAAACTATATAAAAATGTGCGCCCATCATAAGACCACCTAAATCTGAAAGCAAATATTGATAGGCCTAAAGGAAAACAAAAACTGGAATATGATAATAATAGGTCACTTCAACACTTTCAGCAATAGTTAGATCATTCAGACAGAAAAATCAAAGAAACTTCAGAGTTAAATCACATTCTAAACCAAATGAACCTAACATATTTACAGAAAATTACACCCAACAAACACAGAATACACATTCTTCTCAAGAACACATGGAAAATTCTCCAGTATAGAACACAAAACAATTTTAACAAATTTTTAAAAATTGAAACATCAAGTATCAGCTATTCACAATGGCCAAAATATGAAATTAATCTAAGTGTCCATCAATGGATCAATTAACAAAGAAAATGTGCCCCATATATACAATGAAATATTATTCAGTCATAAAAACGGAATGAAATGAAATCCTGTCATTAGCAACAGGGATGAATCTAGAGGGCATTATGTTAAGTGAAATAAACTAGGCACAGAGGACAAATACCATATGATCTCACTCATGTGAAATCTAGAACAGCTGATCTCAGAAATAAGCATAGAATAGTAGTTACTAGTGTTGGAGAAGATGGAAGGAGGATGAGAGATATTGGTTAATGGATATAAAGTAAAAGATAGGACAACTGAGTTCTGTTTTTCTATTCCACAATAGAGTAATTATAGTCAATAATAAAGTGTTGTATCCTTCAAAATAGCTAGAAAAAAGGATTTTGACATTCTCACCACAAAGAAATGACAACTGTTTGAGGTAATGGATATTCTAATCACCTTGATTTGATCATTACACAACGTATATACGTATAGAAACATCACACTATACCACATAAATACATATAATTATCTGTCAATAAAAAAACCTTTAATAACTACTAGTTATTAGTTTTACAAAGCTCAAAAAATGTAAGTATATTATTTATATATACAGTCATACCTAATAAAACTTTTTTTGAGGTAAAATTTACATAACACAAAATTCACCAATTTAAAGTATCCAGTAACATGCATTCAATACATTCACATGTTGTACAATCATTACCACTATCAATTTTAGAACTTTTCCATCACAAAAATTACATACCCATTAGTTAAACAGCCCTCCAATTCTTCCTTCCTCCCCCAATGCCTAACAACCCACTAATTTACTTTCTGTCTATACAGATTTACCTATTCTGAACAATTTCTATAAATGAAATCTACAATACAGACGACAGGGGTTGCCCGAAAAATGTATACACATTTTAAGAGATGGTCACCATAATCAGAGTGTCTGGACACTGATGGTAACCACTTTGAACGCCTTTTGTAATTTCAGAAGTCAAACATAACGTGTATTCATCTAATATTGAGTACTACAATTTTAATAGTTTTTTTCCTTTCTTAAAATGTGTATACATTTTTTGGGCACTCTCTATGTGGGCTTTTTTGTCTGGTATCTTTCCTTTAGCATAATGTTTTTTGGGGTTTTTTGTGTTTTTTTGAGTTGGAGTCTCACTCCGTCACTCAGACTGGAGTGCAGTGGCCGCTCCTGGCCACTGCAGCCTCAACCTGCTGGACTCTGGCGATCCTTCCGCCTCAACCTTCCAAGTAGCTGGAATTAGAATTGCAGGCGCGCGCTACCACGCCTAGCTAATTTTTGATGTACTGTAGAGATGAGGTCTCGCCAAGTTACCCAGGCGGGTCTTGAACCCGCGGGCTCAGGCAATCCACTCACCTCAGCCTCCCAAAGCACTGATTACAGGCTGAGCCACCGAACCCGGCTTAGCATAATGTTTTCAAGACCCATCCATGTTGTAGCATGTATCAGTACTTTATTTATTTTTATATTAGAAATTTTTTTAAAGCAAGAGAATGATAAAACTGAAGACAATGGTTAACTCTAGGAGGAAGCAAGAGGAGAGGGCAGGGAAAAGCACATTGGTCAAGGCAGAGTGGCCTAGTTACTTAGACAGAAGGTGCTCATTATATTGCTTAATTTTAAAAGTAACATTAAGCTACTCTGTATTAAAAATTAATAAAAGGGAAAATAATGGTTGCTACCTCAGAAGATTAAAGGATTAATTATACAACATAATTAATGTAAAAGACATTAACGCCACATCTGACAGTTAATTTGCACTCAATAAATAAAAGACTATTTTTATGGTCTTATCACCACTACCATCATGAGATTTCATATGGTATCACAACTGTAATCCCAGCACTTTTGGAGGCCAAGGTGGGGAGATTGCTTGAGCCCAGGAGTTTGAGACCAGCCTTAGCAATATAAAGAGACCTCATCTACAAAAAATTAAAATTAAAAAAAAAAAAAAATGGTCGGGTGTGGTGGTACACACCTATAGACCTAACTACCCAGAGGACTGAGGTGGAAGGATCACCTGAGTCCAAGAGGTAAGCCATGACCATGTCCCTGGACGACAGAGTGAGACCCTGAGAGAGGGAGAGAAGGAGAAAGACAGTTCTCAATCTCCTACCCTCAAGCAATTCTCCTGCCTCAGTCTCCCAAAAGGCTGTGACTACTGGCATGAGCCACCATACTAGACTTCTCCTTTTGTAAAACATGAAGACGGAAGCTTGGAAAACACATGATAATAAAATTGTATTCCATTTCTGCTAGTTCCTAATTGTATGCCTTAATTAGGCAAGTTAAGTAGTTTTGAGACTCAATTTCACTTTGCTTTAACCGTTTAACTATGACTTGTCACAAATAAATGAGTATATGACAAAATGAATAGGAAAGATAGCATCACTGTAAGAATTATTTTAGAAAAATGCATAAATAATAACCATAGCAGCTCATTATCTAAGCACTATGTACGCTTTTTTTTATTTTTTGAATTGGAGTCTCACTCTGTTGCCCAGACTGGAGTGCAGTGGCCACTCACGGCCACTGCAGCCTCAACCTGCTGGACTCCGGCGATCCTTCCGCTTTAGCCTTCTGAGTAGCCGGAATTACAGGCATGCGTTACCACGCCTGACTGACTTTTTGATTTATTGTAGAGATGAGGTCTCGCCAAGTTGCCCAGGCGGGTCTCAAACCCACGGGCTCAGGCAATCCACTCACCTCAGCCTCTCAAAGTGCAGGATTACACGTTGAGCCACTGAGCCCGGTTTATGTACACTTTTATAAATATTTTCAGAGCATTAACTTATTTAATAAAATAATTCCATAAGGTAGGTTCTACTTTACCCCTGGTTTACAAATAAAGAAACTAAAAAACACAGAAGTAACTCACCTAATTTCATGCACATACTAAGAGGGAAAGCCAGGATTCAAACTCAGTTCCAGCAATTTTAAAGAATACATGGCAAGTCACAAACAAAAGGTGCTCACAATAGTCCCTTTACCATATATCCAAAAATACCCGCTCCTTACCCGATCAGAACATGTACCAACAAAATTGACAACTTATTTAATATCTCTCCTGACAAACTCTAAGAGACAGTGTCTATCTCCTTCACAGCGGTATTTTCTATGCCCATCATGTAGAACATAAGTAAAATAGCAATGAATAAAAGGTATTTATTAAAATTTTTATTATTACTTATCAGCTCTTTTAAGATAAGCAGAAGAATGTAACAAGTACCAGTTAAAAGGCAACATCAGTATAATCAAAAAATTCCAAATGTGCTTTGGAATATACAAGCCTAAAACATAAATCAAGTAGATTTTTCCCATTACTGAGCTCCGTAAAAGAAACATGCTCCCTTGTCCCTTTTAGAGTCATTAACAATTCAAACTAAATATCATTCAATTTGTATAGCTATAACCCATAGCACTGTAAAATATACTCATGTACCATATATCTACACCTCAGTCAAGACTGATCATATATACATGATGGTTGTCCCATAAGATTATAATACCATATTTTTATTGTACCTTTTTGTATTTAGGTATGTTAAGAGACAAAAATACTTACCACTGTGTTACAACTGCCTATATTATTCAGTATAAAAATATGCTGTGTAGGTTTGTAGCCTAAAAGTAATAGGCTATGCAACATAGCATAGATGTGTAGTAGGCTATACTTTGTAGGTTTATGTAAGTATACTCTGTGATATCGACACAATGACAAAACTGCCCATGATGCATTTCTCCAAATATATCCCCACTGCTAAGCAATGCATGACTGTATTATGCATCACATTTGAAACAAGTATGTGACAGGTAAGACAGGATAGAAATTCTAAAATATTTTTTAAAACAAGCATGGGCTTTCTTAATTTGGAGCGTCTATTAACATCTTGTAATTATAAACTAAATTTGCATATGTGCATTTTTTCCCACAGTAGAGGCATAAAGATTTCATTAGCTTTATCAAAGAGCCAATTGACCCAAAAAAAAGTTTAAGAATCAAGGCAATCATTTCAATTACAGAAAAATATATATTCTTGATTTACTCACCAGAAATATCCATGAATGCACGATCCCATAATTCACCTACTGTATAGCACTCTGCAGAAGTAATATTGACTGAAAGAACAATATCATCTTCAACATATTTTAGTATAAGATTATTTATAACAATGTTTACATTATTTACAACTCTTCTAATCAGACTCTGCACATAACCTATAAAACAGAAAAAAAGGATTTAATTACCCACAAATCTATCAATAAATAATTATTTCTTAAAATGTTACTGAATTTATTGTATGTGGAAAGTGGGTATTATTTAGCATATTTCCCAAAAAGAAAACTAGAGCTCAGACAGGTTAAAAGTCTTGCCAAAGTGACACAGTAATTAGCAGCAGATCCAGCCCACCAAAAACTATTAACAAGAAGTTTTGTTATGGAGTATTCATGAACTAAGAGAAGCCACAAGAATCATATCTCTTTAATAAAATGATACTAGATCCCATATAATGATTATCCTATACTGTAAGTACTTTATCCAATTTCTGCATATTGCATAAACATTTTCCAAAATGAAGCAATTAGGATTTGCTAATTATACAGTATATTAGAAGGTAAGCTTCTTTAAGCTTCTTTTTGAACCAGCTACCAACATCTATTCCTACTTTAACCATAAAAATATTTAAAAGTTACACCTGGGATAGGAGAAGCATGACTATCATAATGAATTCAATTCTCTTCACTTGCTAATATACAACAGTAAAACAGAGTAGAGGAGAAAAGGCATAAAGAAAATTTAGACAGGAAGAGTTAAAGATTTTTAAAAGAACACCATGAAGATTTTTTAAAAGTATGAAAGTAAAGAGACTAGATATAAGTAAAAAAGAAACAGAAATAATGTTTTGTTTTTAACTAACTCAAAATAGTAATTAGTGAACATTCTATTTCTCCATAGCTTGCTTAGAATATCCAAAACTTTTCTTTTAATTTCATGCTATTGTGAAATACTCCACAACTTCACTTATGTTTCTCATCTAAGTGTAAACATGGATGAGGAATTTAATTGAAAATATAAATAAAACTAAATACAAACAGCATTTTAAAAAACAGAAGAAAAATATTTTCTTAAAAATTTTCCACTATAAAAAAGCTATTTAAAAGGCAATACATTTCCACCATTTTAAAAAACAACTATTTAAAGGGTAATTAAAATTTTAGCTATTTCATGAAATGACCATATGCTTGTATTCTTTAAGCCAGAACTTTACTGGATAAAACAATCAACTTCTGTCAGCAATTGATACTGTTAACACCTACACTAAAGCCTGCTGGAAGAAAATTTTGTTAACTCTATTCAACCGTAACATATTTGCAAAAGCCAACTAATTCATTTATTCCCAATGATGCAAATAGGAAAGAAATGTAATACAATTAGGTTCAAGGTTTTCTCCTATATGGAAACTATTAGCTACTTTTAGAGTGCCAAGTATCATATACTATAAACTTAACATACAATATACTAACAGATTTAAAGTAACAAATACTCTTCTATGAGAGCAGAATCTAAAATAATTAACAAACAAGACTTTAAAAAGAAATTTTAGATTTTAAGTATCACAATTTTAAACCTTAGAATGTACATTATCCCATATTACTACTCAACACAGATGCTAAAATAAAAATATCATGTTTCTAAGAAGCCAAGTAAGCATGACTAATATTGGTTTCCCTATTTCTCAAAAAAACCTGTCATCAATAGGGAACTCATAAAAACCACTTAAGAGTTCATGAATTTTTATCTTCACAACAAGATTTTAAAAATTGCACTGGAGAAATATATGAAGCAAAATAAAAGAAACATGACATAATATTTTTTTAACTGACAGAACACCACTGATGGATTTTTAAAATCTATTTTTAAATATTTTTTCACAGTTTTGTATTAAAAACTGACATACAAATTAAGATGAGTAAGCCAATTCACCAAAGTAACAGAATCAATATCTAAAGAACCACTTCTGTAAAAGGCTATTTATATTTCCTTATTAAAAATGCAATGCTAAAATAATAGGAACTTATCAATGAAATAAATGATACATTATCTCCTAATTCCTCATAATAACTTGGTTCTAAGCAAGCCACAGGATAGTATCAAATAGATCTAATACCTCACATCATCTCATACTTGGAGTATATTTGTTCAAATAACATAATAATAATCCAAGTATATTCCACAAGCATCTGAAAATGGAAGGGCATGTTGAGGATGAGAACCTGCAAGTATAATATTAGATAACTCTGAAACATCCTATTGCTAGCTTACCTTTCCAGAAATTCTTATCTACCTCTCCCTTGCCCACAAACCCCTTTTTTCCAAATACACACATCTATGCCTACAGGACCAGATAAAAACACTATAAATTTTCACTAACCTTGTTCAAATTACTATTCCTGTTTAGAATATTTTTTGTCCATTCTCCCTTCTCCTCAGGCCTAGTATCACTGGCCCTTCCCCTACATCCCCTTCTCCAATGTCTCCCATCCTACACTTTAACATTAAGGAGAACTGTCTCTACTACCTTTCTTGGGCTTATGTTACTGCTTGTCATTTGTTTATGTATATGTATACTTATCTTCTCTGATAAACCATGAAATCCTAGAAAGAAAATTCTGTATCATATTTATTTCTGACCAAGTCTTTGTCAAAGTCTGTGATATTATTTCTCTGATATTCTTACATTAAATGGCACATTATTAAACAATTTTGGTTACAAAGAGACACCATCTGCTATTGATTCATCTTAATGTGACACTGGAAAGCTCATTATCAGAAAGTAGGTCATAATCAGTGTCACATTAAGTAGCTCATAATCAGAAATTCCATAAATGATGACATGGTTACACTACATAAAGACATCTTAGTCAAGTTTCCAGTGTAAAACTTATTCAGACATTATGTGGCATCACATTATCAGTGCTGGAAGTCCTAGCCAGAGGAATCAGGCAAGAGACGGAAATCAACGTTATCAAAATAGAAAAAGAGGAAGTGAAGATATCCCTTTTTGTGAACAATATGATTCTACATCTTGAAAACCCTAGTAAGTCTGTCAAAAGCCTCCTTGCACTGATAATTGACTTCGGTGAAGTACAAATCAATGTGCAAAAGACAGCTGCACTTCTACACACCAGCAACAAGCAGCAGAGAACCAAATGAAAAGAAATATTCCATTCACAACAGCCACCAAAGAAAAGAAAAGAAAAGAAATACCTTGCATCCACCTAACCAGGAAAGTGAAAGATCTTTACAGTGGAAAGAACTACAAAACGCTACTCAGAGGAATCTAAGATGACACAAATGGGAAAACATTCCATGCTCATGAATCAGAAGAATCAATAATGTCAAGATATCAATCCTACCCAAGACAATCTACAGATTCAATGCAATACCTATCAAATTACCAACATCATTTTTCTCAGACCTGGAAACAATACAGAAATTCAAAAAGTAACCAAAAAGAGCACAAATAGCCAAAACAATCCTCAGCAAAAGGAACAAAGTGAGAGGTATCACACTTCCAGACTACAGTAACCAAAACAGTCTGGTACTGGTACAAAAATAGGCACACAGACCAATGGGACAAGCCAGACTCCAGAAGCAAAAACACAGTCTCTCAACCAACTCATCTTCAACAAAGTCACCAATAACAACCACTGGAGCAAGGAGACCATATTTAGCAAATGGTGCAGGGAAAACTGGCTGACCACATGCCGAAGAACAAAACTGGACCGCCACCTATCACCATATACAAAATTCAACTCTAAATGGATCAAAGACCTAAATGTAAAACCTCAAACTGCAAAAATCCTAAAAGAAAATGTAGAAAACACCCTTATTTGGAGTAGGCAACAAATTCTTGACTAAGTCCCCAAAAGTGAATGCCATAAAGCTAAGATAGACAAGTGGGACCTCATCAAACGGAAAAGCTTTTGCACAGCAAAAGAAACCAAGAGAGTGGTGAGACAACCCAAAGAATAGGAAAAAATATTTGCAAATTATGTATCTGACAAAGACCTAACATCCAGGATCTACAAGGAATTGAAACGAGGTGAAAGGAAAAACACAAAAACCCCATTAAAAAATGGACAAAGGACATGATCAGACACTTCTCAAAAGATAACAATACAAGAAGCCCACAGACACATGAAAAAAATGCTCTACCTCACTAATCATCAAAGAAATGCAAATCAAAACTACAATGAGATACCACCTAATGCCACTAAGGATGTCCATCATTAAATCAAAAAACAACACATGCTGGTGAAAGTACAAAGAAAATGGGACGCTTCTACACTGTTGGTGGGAGTGCAAACTAGTTCAACCTCTATAAAAAGCAGTGAGGAAATTTCTAAAAGAACTAAAAGTTGACCTTCCATACGATCCAGCAATCCCTCTTCTGGGAATACACTTGGAGGAACATAAATCATTCTACCAAAAAGACACCTGCACAGGTTTATTGCCAAACTATTCACGATAGCAAAAATATGAACCAGCTCTACTGTCCATCTAAAGTAGACTAGATAAATAAAATGTGCTTTTACACAATGAAGTATTATGCAGCCATAAAGAAGAACAAAATATGGACTTTGTGGCAAATTGGATGGAGTTGGGGACCCATCATACTTAGTGACCTACACAGAAACAAACAAATGAATATCACATGTTCTCATTCATAACTGGGACTTGAACAATAAACACGTTAGTACAAAAGAGGGATCGGCAGTCACTAGGTACTACTGTGGGGAGGGGATGTAACAACACAAAGGGTACCTACTTGCATGGAGCCTACTTGTGTAGTTAATCCTTACCTGTACACCACATCTCCATAATAAAATAAAATTTTTTAAAAAGTATATTCAAAATGTAGCATGCTCTCAATAAATGCTAAATGATGTCTTTTTTAAAAGTGTGGTTGAGTTACTAGTAGGTGATCTGCGAGATGTCTCTGAATACAAAGGGTTAATCATCTATGGCTGGCTTCCCACTACATCAGAAGAGATGGCTATGACAGAAAACATATGGCTTGCAAAATCTAAAATATTTACTAGCTGACTATTTTACAGAAAATGTTTGCTAATCCTTGTGCTAGATGATGAAGATCAAAGATGATTAAGTCACGTTTTCTAACCTAGTGAGCAACAGTTTTTAGCCTAACTATACCCTAAATATTTCCATTAAAGCATGTGTGTGTATCTGGGTATATTGTAATACACACACACACACACACACATTCTGAGTAAAGGGATAAGGAAAAGAAAAGAAAAGAGATAATTATGTAACAATATCAAGAAAAAGGAAGTTATGCAATGAAACACAACATTTGTCTCTCAGTTAATAAGCAGACAAGTAGGAAATTTTTTTCAATAAGTAGATAATAGGGGGAAAAATATCAATTAATTAAGAGACCCTGAAAAACTTAAAGGGCACAATGCCCTTTAAAGCCATTTTAGAGGCATACAGAAATTATCCACAAATCACTGCTTCTTATAATGCAAGCCAGTAACAGTCAAGGGCTATATAATTCAGAAAACATAGAACTGAATAATCTAGGTGTCTAGTTTAGAAGTGGTCTCACTTTATATTGAGATAAAGCATAGAGAATACTGAGGGAACCTGAATGAATGGATAAATGAAATCTCTTTCTAAAGAGAAAACTGTCAGCACATTTAACAGGATATGCTAAAATCACAATTCCAAACTGCTATTATTAGCAGTAATTGAAGTTCTAATCCTATATATCATTAACCGAAATAAAATATATATTCTTAAAATCTGTCAGATTCAAACTCTTTTGCCCTTCCTCAGTAAGAAATAGTATATTATAACCCAGTACAAGTACATATAGACACACAAGTTTCTTAAAATATTGCTTTCACTATATGCCAATGTGCTTTTCTATTCTATGCCATATGCTTTTTTCTATTCTATACCATATATTTTTAAAATGCTTGCCATGACCCACTAAATTGCTTTAACAATGCACTAATCTAGATCCAGTCTGAAAAAGATTGTTCTAGATCACAAGAATAAAGACTGCAAAGAGGATGCTAGATATTGATTTGTATTTTTTCTTCAATAGAGCAAAACAAATGACTGTGTATAGGCAACACCAAAACATGTATCAAAAATCATCTCTGGATTTATATGAATCCCCAAACTCCCTAAATGTAACTACATATCCTGGGAGAAATAACCTTGCCCCAAAAGATGCTGAAAGCAGGAATTCATCTCTACCATGAAAGAACCTTAATATGATTCCCAGGCAGGATAAGGTTGCCAGAAATTAGTCCTCAAATAACCATATGAGTTAACCCTTAAATAAAATGATTTACTATTATCCAACTGGATTCTCAAATTATCCCCCCCCACACTTTTTTTCTTTTAGCAAAATTAAGTGTAGCTGCTCTGCCTCCCAGTAATTGGCCAACAGCTTCAGTTATTTTGTAAAGCAACTCTTGAACTGTGGTTTATGCAGCATTAAAGAGGATATAAGTCCTCCTGTTAGGTAAGGCAGAAAAGCACATGCTAATCCAAAAGCTACCTCAAGTAGTTCAGTTATAACACAATTCTGTTATATATTACAAAAAATAGAATGTTTTATATTATTTTTATGATTATATGCTTTGTGACACTAAAAATAAACCAATTCTTCCAAATCTGAATATCAGTCTAAATTCTAATATCGACTATAGAGAGTCATTAAAAATTTAGGACCTGCTTTGTATACATGCAGGTTGGCTCATAGAAGATTTCTGTCTGTGAAATCAACAACTGACAACAGCTTTAAAGGTTTAAAAAACACAAGTTTTTTTCTTAGAAAAAACAGAATGTGTAGCAAGAGTCAAAAGTTCAACTGGTTATTCCATGCCAGAATATGGATGGGAAGAGAAAGAGAAAGAGAACAAGAGAGCACACACTATTTAATTTAATGTACAATTTAATTCCCCAGGATTTTTCCAAAGAGAGAAAGAAAAAGAGCAAGAGAGCACACTATTTTAATTCAATGTACAATTTAATTCCCCAGGATTTTTCCCAAAGAAGAAATCAGTAAGAAAAAGTTTAGAAAGTTCTGAAACCATCACACAACTCTAAGCAGAAATGAAAACATTTAGAAGTAAAATATCTTCTGACACCTTCTCCAGCTTGTAGTAATTAATCTATCCAAAATTCAGATGGATTACTAGAGCCTGCTAGGCAGAATTCTGAAGAATACAAAGAATCAGTATTAATATCACTATAGCACTAGTTAACAACGTTCAACTCAAATGTAACTTAGGACATACATTTGAGGGAGGCAGGTTATGAAAGGGTATACCTAATTCCAGCCTCTTACAAGTAGATGGTGCCAGAAGACTGTCAAAATTAACTAGGTTAGCAGAAAGCTTACAAGCTTTTGTCACAGAAAACAAGTATATACAATGTTCAATATACCTCACAAAAAAGGAGTGACATAAATAAAATCAAAAGAGAAGTGACTGACAACTCCTAAGTGTAAAAAGGATGAGTTGACATGTAATGATCATTTTTTTCTTCATTTAATATTTACCAGGGAAGTATTTATTACAAACCACTACTGTCCTGTGTAAATAAAAACTTCAGGAAATAAAAGAGATGATATAAAAGGTCTGTTCCTCTTTAAAAATTCTGATTCCATTAGTGAATGTTAGCACCTCCAGAAACTCGGAGCAATCTAGTTTCTTTTCTCTTTTTACCAAGAAACAAAGGAAACAAATAAGATTATAAGTCTTTGCTTAGAGAGTCTACAAAAAAAACTCAAAGAACTTGTTACAAAAGAGGATCAAAATTTGAATGAAAGACATTTATTTGTGAGAGCTCTGGACCCAACCTGTTTGGAAGTCAAGCAGCAGTACACATGCACTTACAGCCTAAAAGTTTTATGACACTGAAAATGATACGTTACAAAGAACTAAAACAATGATCAGTAACAATAGAAATTTGGTTTTATCAATCTTATTAGTAGTTACCTGGTGGTAAATCAGGATCTGTAGGAGCAGTCTGCTGAATTCTCCGGGGTTTCATCGATGATTTTGGGTTCTCAGTAGTACTACGGTTGGTAGAATTAGAACCACAGCTTTCATGGTCATCCTATTTTTATTTTAAAGAAATAAAAAGAAAAGCACCAATCATATGCAAGAATCAGGAAGAATTTTGTTGAATATATTCAGTTTATAGCTGATAAAGGTGATAAAACAGCCTTCTAATTTTATTTCTTAGCTCTAAAAACTATATAACCAATTCCATAATTTGCATTCTCAAACAGCATTTAAAAAATAACTAGTAGCTTAAAACTATAAATTATTTCTTTCTATAGCTGATATCAAAACAAACTACTTAACAATGTCAAAGGATTCTTATTAATGACTCCAGCAAAAGAAAAGACTGCCTGATGAATGGTTTTGAACAATGCTCTTCACTTTAAGTGAAAAATATATAAGAAGGGTCTTATTTTTTCCCATATTTGTTGTTTATATGTTAAAATACTATTTTTGAATCCAAGCCATCTTAGTCATCTGTGATGACTGATGTTAATCATTCTTAAATCCTTTGCATTCTACTTAATGTTTATTATTATTCATGTTAGATATAGGATTTAACTGGGTTTCAATATAAACAACACAGAAACAAATAAATATACATATTTTGAAATCTACTCTCTTATTTATAAAATTCAAATGAGTACTCTTTTCCTGCCCTGACTCATCATTTGTATAATGCTCTTACATACCAATTGCTAGATTTACGATAAATTAGATATCATACCTGTCCTCAAATATTTCAAAATCTATCAAACACATATTTAATTAATTCTACAGAAGCAATACTTTTGTTTGTTTTTAAATAACAGGAACACAAAAGGAATCAATCTATTTGGAAAAACTTGAAAGATAAGGCCCTTAAAAATTGAATGTAGGAATGTTTTAGATTAAGATTAGAGGCCAATGGGAGTAGAGGGAGAACCAGAAGTAAAATCAAAACAGTATAATTAATATATGCAGCACAAATAAGGAATGACTGGTCAAATAAGTCCAAAGTATACAGTGCTTAAGATGGAAGTATAATACCAGAAGCTAAAGGCATGAATTAGTACAGTAAAAATGAGGTAATTTAAGAACTATAGAGATATTCACAGCCCTTAATCTAGTTGAACTGTTTCAGGATTTGGTCATTAAGAAGAAGCTGCCAGTAACCTATAAGAAAGGAAATTTAGCAGTTTCCATAGGGATAGGAGTGGGAGCACTAACTGAGTAGCTCAAAACATGAATGAGAAGTTAAACTGAAATCAGTAAGAATTGCTCTTTCAAAAAGACAGGCAACACAAAGAAGAAAATAGATGGGGTAGTAACATGAGGCAAAATCATTAATCAACAATAACACTATTTTATAAAATTTACAAGAATGGTGATAAATTTGGTTTTTCTATTTTATATATTTGAAGAAAAAACTTCAAGAGCAAATAAAATCAATAATCATCACTAATTTACAACCTAACAGGGTACTAGAGGCAAATAACAACCATGATAAGACCTTTAGGAAAAAAAAAATTCTTATTCAGTTCCACACTAAAAAAATATAATAAAAGATTAGTCTTTTACAAGATAGCACGGCTTCAGATGGTAGTGACACACACACACACACACACACACACACACACACACACACACACACACACACAATTTGCTTGAAGCTTTGTAGAAAGAAGCAAAAGATGAAAGATAAATAACAAAGAAATGTTCTCATGCTCTTATGTTCACTTTAAGTTACTACAAAACAAACATGACAGGTCATTCCACAAAACAACTTCACTATTCAATCTTTACAATGACATCTTTTGTTATTTTGGGGGATGTTACAGTCTTTAAATACTAAAAGACTACTACTATGAATAAAATCTTACTGTAATTACCTTTAGTTCAACTTACATCCCTAAAAACGTCCGTAGTCATACACTTCTGCACAACGTTAACATTAAAAGCACACTATTAATTTCTGAAACATGTGGTTGTCTCAAAAGCCCAGAAGTAAAACATGTTCATTAAAGAGATGTGAAAAAGTTCCAAGTGAACTGCCAAAACTAGCATAATTATGAAAATATTTAACACTGAAACCATCTGAAATCACAAACTGTATATAGGTTACAGTGATGTCATAATAAACATTCCAGCCAAAATGCACTAAAACTACTGCAGTCCAATAAATCTGGCATATATGAGATGACAAACATTTTAAAGCAAAAGAAAGAAAAAATTATTTTTATTTTATTTTTTAAGTCATTAGCAGCAAAATAGGGTAGACTAAAGAAGAGTTTTCACATATTAAAAATAAAAGTGAATAAAGTTTCCCTATAAACTACATGTCTATTATTTAAGAGAAAACAAACTAAATAACTTCATTTACTTACCAAAATTTATTATAAATGATACTTTCATGTGCTTAAAAATGAGCATTAATCATGGTACTCATAGGAATATATACTATGAAACAAAACATCACCAAATGTGCAAACACTTCTTCCTTAATTATGGTTAGAAAATTATGACTACACATATCATAATTAGAAAATAATCCTTTTGATAATTTGAATTTGTTTTCATTTCAAATATTTCAATTGTATCAACTATAATTGAGCTTCTATTTAAATCCTGCCCCAACCAAATTAAATAATAAAGTAAAACAAGAATAATTATTAATATTTACTATTAAGACTGGAATTACTTCCATCATTAGTTTTGAATTCATCATCTGCTTTCAACCAATAGGCATCACTTTGGAATACTACACATTTTTACTTTTACCCTCAATCACCAATAAAAAGAAACTCTGTTCTCAAAAATACTACAAAAATATTTTGAGATAATTTTTAACCCCAAACACATTACTGTTATATCTTATTTAGGTTGCAATTTTTCCAAAATGTCTGGTAAGTATATTTCATAGCAAAGGAATGTTTTCTCTTGGGGACCACATAGCTATTTCTGAAAATATTGCCCTTTGCTCCGCATGAAACAAGTAAGAATGTCATTTCCTTACAACAGTTCCTAACAGAGGGAAAATGTGGCAAACACTGTATGTAAATAGATCCATTACTTTCATACTGACAGATCATGGGTTCATGTTGCATACTTTTTCCTCTTCCCCTTTATAAGGCTAGTATACTAAAACTTGAAAACCATCAACTCCCAGATTCACAAAAGTGTAAATAAAATTGAGAACTAAAAACAAGTGACTACAGCATTTTAAGTGCTTGTCTAAAAACAGAGCAAAAGGTTAAGATGCAAGAAAGTGCTGAAGAAGAAGAAACTGATAGATGGTGGAACTAAGAAGTGATGTGTTTTATTCTCTTCAGCCTTCTGACACCAAACTTGGCAAGCAAAAAAAGGACTAAGACTCACCTGGCAGTTCTGGTCACAAAGGCTCCTGAAACAGTGGAAGAGGCTTAGAAATCAACTTACCGCATGTCTTCTAAGAGATATTCACCTCTATCCTCTCCAGTAGTAAGTACAATGGCAATTGTCAGATGCAATAAAGAATCCCTAAGAGTAACACTACACTTCAGAGAGTCAGAAAGCTAAATAAAATCACCTACTTAGAGATACATTTGAAGAACAAAAGTGGGAGCCAGGGAAAACACATTCACTAACTTTCATAGTAAAAATGGGAATCTCTGGCTCAATTCTACCTTGACAGTAATAATAATAAACTTAATTTTGGTCATTAAAAAAACAAATATGCTTAAATAAAGAGGAATTTATAGCACCAACCTCTTCACAAATTGACTTTAGCCCACAGGGGAGGTTGCTTCCATCTTCTCTCCCATCAAGGGTAGGAACAAAGGGTTATGATAGACTAGGAAAGAAGGGAAAAGAATTGACCCTCCCTTGCATTCTTTTTACTTTTTCATCTCAAAAGAAAGACTAACCAACGTGACCAAAGCTGATATGCACTGACCACATTTTAGTAATAGAAGAGATCACTGTACTACTCACTATAAACACTTCTGTGGGGTGGGTCTCTCTTCAATCTCTGAGATCCATGCTACTCAGTATTATAGGACCAGAGCCATTTTCCCCAGGTGACTCAACCGTCTGCCATCTCCTCTGCCTTCTTTTCACCCACATAGCCACCTGACCCAGGATACTGGCCTAGCCACAGATAAAACTATCAAACTATGCCAGGCACATATTAGGGAAATAGTAAAACATATTCAGAAAAATTTGTTCTTTATAGCTGTCTACAACATCCTTTTCCTTCATACTGGTGGGTATATAACAGAATGCCATCTCCTCCTTTTTTTAAACCACTGAATTGAAAATGTGAGACTTACATTGGAAGGAAGGTGAAATAGGCAGAAGGTGAAATAGGCATGGAAGGTGAAATAGGCAGAAATTCAGGGAGAAAAAACAAAAAGTATAAACAGAAACATCCCAGCCTAAACCACCATCTAATTTTTACAATAATTCACCGAGGGAAATTGGGTTCTTTAAGTAAGTTAATATAACCATACTTGTTTTCTTATATATAACCCCCCCACAGCAAAAAATGCCTAAGCAAAGTATGTGTTAGGCACTTTCAGAGAAAATAAGTAGTATAATAGATGATATAGCCTTATCCAAATATTTTATATAACTAGATAAGAAACAGTACATATATATGTTTAAAAGTTAGCAATTTAAGAGTTAACCAATGATTATATGTGTCACAAAGAAATAACAGTTACCTTTATTGGGCACATATATGTACCAGACAGCAAGTATTTCAAGGACAAGAAAACTACAGCTTCTCTTAAGGGAAACAGGGAGAATGGGAAGGAAGGAAAAAGAAATAGAAAAAAATCTGTATTTATAATACTTCCAACAAGTCACATACTGCTAAAGACAGTATCTTGATATCTTTTTTAATCCTCCTCATCAACCCTATGAACGCAAAAATATCCCCATTTTATAGATGAGGAAACTAAAGCATAAAGAGATTAAATGGTTTAAAATCACACAGCTATTAAATGGCATAATCCTAACCACTCTGCCCTACTTTCTTCCTATGAGAAAAAGCTAACTGAAAAGTACCATTAAACACCACATATTCT